TTAACTGTGTATATATATATATATTTGTATAGATATACTGAGTTATAATTAAATGTCATAAACCAACCTCTATATGTATGTAATATATATATATATATATGTATCACACCCCAAAAACTATATAAACCCCATTAATTGTATATATAGTTATTGGAATTCTGAACCAACTTAGCTAATTCGGGGGCACCGTAACCAATCCATCTTTGGGGGGCCCACAAAGGATCCCCTGTGCCTCCGCCAAGCCGGGGCTCTCCTACAAGGAAACCCTCAAGGAGCCACAAATCCACCAGATGGCAACCCCTGAATATGGAAAAACACATGGAAAGCTGGAAACTGGAACTGATAAGGTAACATGAAGTAATACATACTCCGATGTATATACACATATATACATACACTATAAAATAAAGTAATGGGAATAACGTGTTTCACCGCCCCCACCCAGTGTTTTCAAATATTACATATGTGCACGTTTCAGAGATGTTGTGCTCGTTTCAAAAAAGTTGTGCACGTTTCAGAGATGTTGTGCACGTTTCAGAGATGTTGTGCACATGTCAGAGATGTTGTGCACGTTTCACAGAAGTTGCGCACGTTTCACAGAAGTTGCGCACGTTTCACAAGCCCCCAAATAATGTTTGTGTTCAACTGCATTCGGGCGACCAAACACGTTCTCCCGATATACCTCTGTAAAATTCTGTAAGTAAGTATATTATGATATATTATAGATCGAAACACCCATGACATCACCATTATACCACCATCTCCGTCCGTTTCAACGTCGTCCTGCCCATAGCTCCGCAGCGCCCGCAACGCCAACGGCACCGCTGGTAGCAGCACCAGTCGGCAACCGCGGAGAGCGAAGGCTGAAAGGAGGTCCAAGGCACGGATCCTTAGGGAGACGATGGAAACGCTTCATATTATGATTAATGGGGTTTAAACAATAATAAACTATCCATTTGGGAATGGTTCAAACCACCTATTTGTGGTGATTTGGGGGATGGTCTATTATTATTGTTTAACCTAAAATGGAGGTACGTTAGTACCATATTTGTGGCCATATTTTTTGAAGGTATGTAGGCCTGAATGATAGGCCTTATGTATGGTAGGTACCTCCAATGAATCGGTTCCTGGCATGGCCATTGATATTATGATTAATGGGGTTCTATCAATGGAAATATTGGCCATACAAATGATGAATGAATAGCCTTTCACAAAGCCCTTATGGTTGGATGGTACAATATAATGATTAGCCATTCACAAAGCCCTTATATGTGGTTGATATTGGTTATAGGTTATAACCATTAGTAAATAATAGTACTACAATCTATGAAATGGAACCGTAATGGGAATGATTTATGTGATAAAACAATGAACATATTCAGAGTTTAGGGTCCTGAAAATCCCTTTGATACAAGTTGGATCGCATGGTTTCCCCAAGAAAAGTGTCTACAAATGGTGGGTTTTCCACATCTGTGTTAGTTTACCCAAATGGGTGAGGTGTAAAAGCAATTCTTTTTTGATTCCAAGATACTATTGACAAAATAATATGATTAAAAAAAGGTTTCATGATACACAAGTCCTTTTAGTTTTCAATTGGTATATTATGTATGTTCTTTACCATATCAACATATTGTTTAATGTCGGATAATCTAGTCGGTACAAGTGGTATATGATAGCAACTGGCAAACTTGCAAAACAGTGGCACGCTCATTTATAGTTGCATTGTATTGGTAAAATGGTTTCAATCAACAATTATATAATGAGATAATGAAGATGGCTTGCTTGATGCATATCTCATAGTATCATTATTGGAACCAACCATCAATACAATGGGAATGCAATGGGAACGTAACGGTGACGTACTTTATAAACCAGCACTTGACTATGGTGGGAACTCAGCACTGCACAGATATTCATTTAACTAAATCCATCTAAATCCATCTAATTACCATCATTCTACCCACCTTTTTCGGACTTTTTCACTTCACTTCACTGCCCCGGGTGCGAAAACCACAGCGGAAACCGAACCGAGACGCTGCACGTCCTGCGAGTTCGGCTGCGCTTCCAAGGCTCTCAGCAGCGCATCCTCCGTGCCGCCCAGCCGGGCCTCCGTCATGGCGAGGCGCTGCAGGGAGGCGCAGGCAGAGTCCTGGAGAAGCGACCAAAAAGTGGCAAAAAATGGGGAAACTTTGGAGATTTCACTGTTTAAACCAACATATATTAGGGGTTTTTAGATCGGATTTATGTGTGATTCACTGTTGAACATGTTAAACATTTATGTGGCTTAACTCACAGAAATTTTGATTTAAAATGAGTTAACAGCAAATGGTTCCATGATTTCCTTGTTTCAATCCCCATTAGTTTCAGGTATTCCCCAGCTGGCCGTTTTCATTACTGGAAGGTATTTTTCAATTCATACCATACAAGGTCGTGCCAAAAACGTTCGCTAAAATATGCAAAAATAGTTGAATGAAACAACTAGGATGTATCATAGATGTAAACAGTAACTATAGTAACTATAGTAACTATAGTAACTATAGTGACTATAGTAACTATAGTGAATAGGGCAGGTGGGTTGCAAACCAACTTGTAACTGGGGGGCCCGACCTGGTATAGAACAAACAAGAAATGTTTGATTCTATGTTTTTTTTAGTGATTGTTACATGAGGACAAATCACATGATAGATGTAGCAGCAACCACAAAAAGGAATCCTTATAAAATATTGTGGATATGATCCATAAAATGGGATGATAATGGAAAAACATGAATGATGGAAGAACATTTGGGATGTGATCTCAAATGTTATAGGAATAAACCTATGAACTTGACAGGATCATGCGTGCATGAGCAATAAGAAATGAACATCATGGATTTATATATGCTCCATATCTTGGGGATATCATTCACAACGAAACAAAAGCTGGTTGGTAATCTTTACAAAAATAGACTGACAAACTGTCAGATTTGGGATCTGGTCCATGAACATGATAGCACCCTCATGGATACTTGGATCACCTGGATCACTTGGATGGAACATACAAATCAGCAAAGAAAATGATGGATATGCATAAAAAAATTGGAATATGTAAAGCTATCATACTTATAGTGGATGTAGATATGATCCTATCTTAAACAAGAAATGGAGATCATTGGGTCCATTTCGTGCAAACTTTGCGGTGCAGAATCCTGAGCATCCGGCTGACTGCCTTGATGTTCTGCAAATCAACGAAGGCTGTAAGGTGACAAATGACCGCTCAATGTTCAATGACACCTCAATCTCTTCTCGGAGCGAGTCAAACAAAGCATCTGCTGCAATAAAAGCACCACCTCCGCCTGTTGCTGCTCCAACATGCTCCAACTATCTATTTGGGTTTGTCTGAAAATAGAATACCCAAAATTCCAATGGATTGTCATCATTTTCCCTATTAACATGGCTGCTGGTGGCTATCCCCATATCCATATCGCGATATACGATATACATACATAAACTCATCTTTGCATTACTGTAATATATCCATATTTTTATATAGATATTTTTTGTATATGTATATGATATATGTACATATATATATATATCCAGATTCATATCTTTGGAATCTATATCCATATCAATCTCCATAGCTGCTATTGGGTCAACGGGCGCCCCATCGGAAAAAAAACGTCCTGCAGCTCCGTGACCTCTAAATTCTTCCGCATCGCGTCCTCAGTGGTTTAAAAAGTGACTGGGGCATCTGTAGACCCAAAACAACCATTTTTTTTGGTAAAACCATAATAATAGACCACAAATATGGCCACAATATGGTACTAACGTACCTCCATTTTAGGTTAAACAATAATAATAAACAATCCCCAAAACCACCAAAAAAATGGGTGGTTTCTTAACCATCAACGGTATGGGGTGGTTGCTCGTATTGTTTTAACCACATAGCCAAAGCTGGTTGGTGGTTTCAACCCCTCTGGAAAAATAATAGTCAGTGGGGATGATTATTCCCATCATATGGAAAGGTAAAAAACGTTCCAAACCACCAGCCAGAATAGTTGTTGTTGAGAATAATCACAGCACCACGGCTTTTACTAAAACGTACTACTGTCACCACGGTTTTTACTAAAACGTACTACTGTTACAGAAAAGTGTACTTGTACCATGTTTTGTTTTTTCAAGAACGACCTAATGCTTGTGTAGAAAAACATGTCTATGTTTTAAGTGCATTTTAAACAAAAATATGTGTTGATGTGCATGTGTTTTTAAAAAAAACTTGAAAGACCTCGGCTCCTACCTCTTCTTTCCATGCATTTAAAGATGTTTTGGGATCTGGCATTTCATAATTATAATTCCTCAGGCATTCTGTCTTCTCATGTATGATTGTTGCTCACATTGATGGATTCGTTTACAACTCCATAAAACATATTTCCCCATGTCTGACACCTGCCAAGTCACTGCCTATTTCCTGCCAACAGCTTGACTTGGAGCATAGCAAAAAACAAGTTGCATAGCGAATCAAAAATCCAAAATGGAATCCCAAAATTATGGCTTTGGAAAATGGCTTTCCTATTCAAATTGCATGGTTATTGTCTGAATTGTCTGAATTCTAAACATCTTATCAAATGCCACCCAAACAAGACCAAAGTTCATAATTCCGTATTGGATCTGTTCTCTGGGGGCTGATATGGAGGCATTTCATGTTGTGGGAAGGGGTGAATACCAATGTTCCAGTTGATTTATATATATATATCTCTCTCTCTCAAATAAACACCATGGATTACTCATAGAGAAGCTTAATCCCAGGGGTCAAAAACCACGTGACAAATGCAGGCCTCAAAATAGCTCAAAATAGCATTATTAAAGTTTAATAAGGAATTTTGAGGCATTTTGAGTTTTGTTTTTTTGCATAATTTTGGGAAAAAACTGAGCCTCAAAATGCCTCAAAATGCATCAAAATGCCTCAAACTAGCTCCAACTAGCTCAAACTAGCTCAAAAACCATTCGAACTGCTGAATCTTTAATTTTGGAAGATGTTGACCATTGATTTTGCACCCCCGGGGACTGTAACTGTACGGCCAAACACCTTGATTTGCCCGCGCTTTTCGGCGGCCATCTTCCGACGTGCTGAAAACGTGGTAAAAATGTTTTTTTTTTTGCATGACCGGTAACTTGAAGTTGTTAATCTCAACGCACAGGTCCCTGACCTGTGCGCTGCTTTTACACAGCATCATCATCATCAACATTAACATCATCATCATCATCAACAACAACAACAACATTAACATCAACATCATCATCATCATCATCATCAGCATCAGCATCATCATCATCATCATCATCATCATCATCCTTCATCCATCAGCATCCATCATCGGGACTACCGGAAGATACTTCCCAGGACACTCTTATTTTCCCCCCCTGGACTGGCTTATAGTTGTCACTCCGAGGCTTCCTTATCCTCTTTAGGATGAAGCCACCAACATTGGTGGAAGTTGTAGGCCTGGTTGGGACTGACTCCCAGGCGACCAGTGAGCAAAGCTTCCTTGTATTTTGCATGCGCAAGCAACACATTGAGAAACCCTGGACGGCGTAGCAGTGCCGCGCTGCTTTGAGCCTGTAGAGTCCGCATCTGAGGCTTGGCGTGTCGACCTCTGCTGTTTGTCTTTCGCATGATATTGGCAAGATGCCCGAAAATACCTTCAGCACAATTGTCGCCCCCCGCGAGGCGGAAGTGCCTCTGGTACATTCTGGCTCCTTTCCGTTTACCATTGGATTGTTTTTCCAGAAACTTCTTAGTCTTGGCGGGCAACTTCTGCTTGCTCACCTTTGAGGCTGGCGTAAAGATCTTGGTCTGGTGACTTACGCCGCGTAGGACGATCCGGCCTTCTGCGGCCTTCTTCCATGCTTTTCCGCCATCCACTCCAAGAAGAGCTGAAGCAGGGGTCTGCTTTTGGATAGGTCCAGAAACTTCTTGCACGGTTTCCGGTCCCATCCCTCGTTTGCCTTTGCTCACTTTGACAGGGAGTGGCTGACTACTCCATTGTTTGCTTTGACGCCCTTTGAGGACCAGCATCCTGCCAGAATGTATTCGTTTTCCACATTCATAGCCGCTCCCAAATCTGGCCGAGTCAGCCTCGACCACTTCCGTTGGGAACTTGAGCGTCTCCGCGTGCAAGTACTCACTAAAGGCTAAAGCGATGCGATGCTTCTGGTACAAGTGCTCGATGCGTTTGGTTTGTGCCACCAGAGATGTGTCCTTGGTGCGGGTCATATGCACGGCTTGGTCTGGAGCCATGCGCAAACCAAAGGCATAGGCAGAGCGCACGAATGTCACATAGTTTGGACGTTCGCACCTGCGTTTGTAACCAGCAAAAGCCGTGAATGCCAGAAGAGGGTCTTCAATTCTGGGTCGACTTTTGCAGCTTCTCCCGGCAGAACATCTGTAGCCTTTTCCAGCTTTGTCCATTGGAGCCTGACAGCTCCAGCACTTGAAGCTCAAGTCATGCCGGTTGTGGTGTAGCAAGCCTTTGTCTATAAGCAAACGTCTTGCTGTCTCATCACGCAAAGCAGCTATCTCTTCGTATGAAGGTATGTCCAGATCAACTAACTTCATAGTGTCAGGTGTTCCTGTAGTTCTTCCCGAATAAGAAACGCCATGTTTTTTCTTGAAAGCACGATTCGCGGATACCTTTTTGCCGAATTTGCCACATTTGCCGAGACGCACATGCTTCTCCACCTTGTTGCCACTTTTGCCCATCTCACTTGGTCGGGATCTTGAAGCGAGCGCGGTCGACCCGCCTTCTTGGCTGGGGCTGCACAGTGACCACGGGATTCTTGTCGAAGTCTTGTGCTAGCCTGATGCAGCACTGGATGTTGTTTCTTGGGGTGAAGGTTATGAATGGGTTCATGTTGGTGCCATGTTGTATTTAGATAGTATAATATCTTCTAGGTATCAACTTCTATCCAATGGTTCCAGTGCTAAAGTATAAATCTTCCAGGTAGCAACTTCCATCCCAAGGTTCCAGTGTTAAGTCAAGGAGCAAAGCCATTGATACCGGATCCTCAACCCAGCATGTGGTGCTCAACACATCCTGCGATCTGATGTCGAGCCATGATCTGATGATTTCCCTCGCCTTGGGTGGCAACTCTATGTACTGCATGTTGGGCCAGTCTCAGCGGCGTTTGGGCAACGCAAGTTCAAAAACATCATCCCAATTAAGTATAAAGGTTGGAGGTTTTGCCAGTTATATGTAAGAATATTCCATAAATACCCTTGTTGATCTTCCCCATTGAATGTAAAGTTTAACGGGGGTGGGAGTTTAATATTCCCTAAAACCTTTGTTGATCTTCCCAATTGAATGTAAAGTTTAACGGGGGTGGGAGTTTAATATTCCCTAAATACCCTTGTTGATCTTCCCAATTGAATGTAAAGTTTAACGGGGGTGGGAGTTTAATATTCCCTAAATACCCTTGTTGATCTTCCCCATTGAATGTAAAGTTTAACGGGGGTGGGAGTTTAATATTCCCTAAATACCCTTGTTGATCTTCCCAATTGAATGTAAAGTTTAACGGGGGTGGGAGTTTAATATTCCCCAAATACCCTTGTTGATCTTCCCAATTGAATGTAAAGTTTAACGGGGGTGGGAGTTTAATACTCCCTACAATCTTTGTTGATCTTCCCAATTGAATGTAAAGTTTAACGGGGGTGGGAGTTTAATATTCCCTAAATACCCTTGTTGATCTTCCCAATTGAATTTAAAGTTTAACGGGGGTGGGAGTTTAATATTCCCCAAATACCCTTGTTGATCTTCCCAATTGAATGTAAAGTTTAACGGGGGTGGGAGTTTAATATTCCCTAAATACCCTTGTTGATCTTCCCAATTGAATGTAAAGTTTAACGGGGGTGGGAGTTTAATATTCCCTAAATACCCTTGTTGATATTCCGACGTGAATGTAAAGTTTAACGGGGGTGGGAGTTTAATACTCCCTACAATCTTTGTTGATCTTCCCCATTGAATGTAAAGCTTAACGGGGGTGGAAGTTTAATATTCCCTAAATACCCTTGTTGATCTTCCCAATTGAATGTAAAGTTTAACGGGGGTGGGAGTTTAATATTCCCCAAATACCCTTGTTGATCTTCCCAATTGAATGTAAAGTTTAACGGTGGTGGGAGTTTAATATTCACTAAATACCCTTGTTGATCTTCCCCATTGAATGTAGAAGTTTAACGGGGGTGGAACATTATCTTCCTAATTGCATGTAAAGTCAACCCAATGGTAGGGTATAAAAGGGGTGTGGGCGAATCAGGGTGTTTGCGCGTAACTGTAGTAAAATCAAAATTCTTCAAAATTCCTCAGAATTTCTTAAAATCTTTAAAAATCATTAAGTGCCTTAAAATTCTTTAATTTATTTTAGAATTCCTTAGAATTCCTGAGAACCCCTTTTAAAGTCATGAAACTTGTTTAGAATTCCTTAGAATTCTTGAAAATCTCTTCAACTTCCTGAGAATTCCTTAGAATTCCGTAAAATTCAATAACAATTCCTTAAGGTTCATTAAAATTCTGCATTTTTTAAAATTCCTTAGAGTTCCTTAGATTAATTTAAACCCCTTCAAATTCCTTCCAATCCTTTAAAATTCCTTAAAACTCATTAAAATCCATTAAATTTCATTTGAATTATTTTGGAATTCCTTAAAACTACTCATTTTTTTTCAAATTCCTTAAGATTCCTTAAAATTCATCAGAAAATGCCTTAAAAAATCCAAACTTTCGTCCTTAACACGAAACTTTCGTCCTTAACACAAAAATGTCGTCCTTAACACAAAACTTTCATCCTTAACACAAAACTTTCGTCCTTAGCACAAAACTTTCGTCCTTAGCACAAAACTTTCGTCCTTAAAATCCCTTTAAATTCATGAAAATTCGATAAGCTTACCGAAAATTCTTTGGCATCTCCTTAGAATTCCTGAGAATTCGTTAAAATCCCTTAGAATTCCTTGAAATTCTTTAAAAACCCTTAAAATTCCTGAAAATTCTTTAACATTCCTTAGGATTCCTGAGAATTCGTTAAAATTTCTTAATATTCTAAAAACCACGTGAGAAACACCAGCCTCAAAATAGCTCAAACAACCTCATTGAGCTAGTTTGAGATATTTTGAGTTTGGTATTTTTTGCATAATTTTGGTGGAAAATGAACCTCAAAATACCAAAATCAAACTAGCTCACACTAGCTCAAACTAGCTCAAACTAGCTCAAACAGCTTTAAAAATCGTTCGAACTGCTGAATCTTTAGTTTTGGAAGATGTTGACCATTGATTTTGCACCCCGGGGACTGTAGTAAAATCAAAATTCTTTAAAATTCCTCAGAATTTCTTAAAATCTTCAAAAATCATTAAAATTCTTTAATGTATTTTAGAGTTCCTTAGAATTCCTGAGAACCCCTTTTAAAGTCATGAAACTTGTTTAGAATTCCTTAGAATTCTTGAAAATCTCTTCAATTTCCTGAGAATTCCTTAGAAGTCCGTAAAATTCAATAACAATTCCTTAAGGTTCATTAAATTTCTGCATTTTTTTTATTCCTTAGAATTCCTTAGATTTTTTTAAATCCCTTCAAATTCCTTAGAATCCTTTAAATTTATTAAAATTCCTGAAATTTCTTTAACATTCCTTAGAGTTCATTTAAATCCCTTGATTTTTTTTGAAATTCTTTAAAATCCCTTAAAAAACCTGAGATTTTAAGGAATTTTCTCTTATTCCTAGAATCTCTTGCAATTCTCAAAATTCTTCATTTTTTTGAGCTACTTTAAGGTGGTTGGTTGGAATTATGCTCCAGCCCATGATGTCCAACTGATTTGACTTGTTTTGAGCTGATTTGAGCTACTTTGAGCTACTTTAAGGTGGCTGCTTGTAATCAGAAATGACAATTCCTCAGAATGGCTTAATATGATTTTGGGCCCTTAATCTAGCTCACACTAGCTCAAATCAGCTTAATGAAATGGTCATATTTTACCCCTCAAACTAGCTCAAAATGTCTCAAAATGACGTTCTAAGTACTCGGTGTTTGTCCCGTGGTTCTGGACCCCCTGGATCTTGTACCCCTATGAATTACATCCCCCCCCAAAAAAAAACGTTGCAATATGTTGTAATATATATATATACAGTAAAGCCGCATGATCTTCAACTGGAACCGTGAAATCAACTGTATGTATAACCATATATATATATATATATATCACTGTATAAATAAATATATATATATATATAACCCAATACTTCAACTGGAATCCTTAAAATACCATAAATACCAATGGCTCCCTGTAAATTGTCCCCTTAAACCAGTCCCAGCAGCTGCTATGACCTGCTGCGCCTCTAGCTCCAACAGCTGCTCCCGCGAGGCGTTGGATGTTTCATCGCCGGACATGTCGGGGAGGCAACACCTGGGGGTTTCCCCCAGAGGAAAACCCGTAGGAAAGAGGTGATTTGACCCAAAAGAAATGTGGGAAACCCTAGGAAAAAGGAAATTTTATGGGAAACCGAGAAAAATGGTGGAAAACTGTAGGAAAATTGTGATTTATCTCCCCCCGGTTTTCATGATTTTAATGGGATGTAGAGCTGATTGATAGTGGTATAGTTGGTTGAAGTTTAACTTAATTGACTATCGGTTTAGGGTGGATATGATATGATATCACTATACTTGGAAATATTCAAGGGTAACCAAAGGAACGCGATTATCAGAATTGGTAAGTTGCATGTTTTTGCTGGTGAAAAAATAATACATAATTCAGTCAAATTGCATGGTTATCTCGCCAAAAAAAAGAAGGACATAGCTGATGTAAATGGCAAACAATCACCTGGTGAGTTACTTTTTGGTGCATCCCAAGTTTTGCCAACAAAACTGGTGAATAACTTGGAAATTGTATAGTGTTGTATCGCTTTCCTTGGAGAACCAACTCATCAAAGTGAGAGTTGGAAATAAATATCCCTCGGGGGGCGGGTGCCTTTGGGGTTAGTTTAATGTGTATAACCATGGCGCTGTAATCTCAGGATATACAACCCCCACATTTAACTTGCAAGTTATTGTTCACATTTCTTTGAGAAAACATGTCACTCAAATGAATCCTAAAGTCATTGTTTGGGGGAAGGAACATATCGAAAGTCACATGAGGATCATAAAATTATAATGTTTGCACCCGATTAGTGTCCTGGTACCCTATTGTGAGAAATTTCTTGCTCCTAATTCAGTCACATGCAAATTGTTGGGGGGGAACTCTATTGTGAGATTTTTTTTCCAGATGAGTTTTTTTTCCAGATTTTTTTTTTAAATGTTCTGTTTCCAAATGCTTTAACTTTTTTTAAAAAAAATCTAATTATTTATGTTTATTAGATTTTTAACTTTATTTTAAATGCCTTATTAAACCCTTATTAAAAAACAGCACCCAGACAATTTTTCAAGGGGGTACCTCATGAGTGGCTCAGTTACTCAATAATATAATTGTTTGGATGGTACTCTATTGTGAGCACCAACTTTTGGGAGTGATAAAAAAAAAACAAAACCCTTTCTCCACCTTTCTTTGAGTAAAGCTGATGCCTTTACTTTAGAAAGCCATATTTGTGTTAAAACTAAAATGCAAGGTTTTCCAAATAATTAGATGCCTTATTAAACCCTTATTAAAAAACAGCACCCAGACAATTTTTCAAGGGGGTACCTCATGATTGGCTCAGCTACTCAATAATATAATTGTTTGGATGGTACTCTATTGTGAGCACCAACTTTTGGGAGTGATAAAAAAAAAACAAAACCCTTTCTCCACCTTTCTTTGAGTAAATCTGGTGCCTTTACTTTAGAAAGCCATATTTGTGTTAAAGCTTTAAAATGTAAGGTTTTCCAAATAATTAGATGCCTTATTAAACCCTTATTAAAAAACAAACAGCATCAGACAATTTTTCAAGGGGGTACCTCATGAGTGGCTCAGTTACTCAATAATATAATTGTTCTGGATGGTACTCTATTGTGAGCACCAACTTTTTGGAGTGAAAAAAAAGCAAAACCCTTTTTCTCCACCTTTCTTTGGGTAAAGCTGGCCCTTTCACTTTAGAAAGCCATAGTTGTGTTAAAGCTTTAAAATGCAAGGTTTCCCAAATAATTAGATGCCTTATTAAACCCTTATTTAAAAACAGCACTCAGACAATTTTTCAAAGGGGTACCTCATGAGTGGCTCAGTTACTCAATAATATAATTGTCTGGATGGTACTCTATTGTGAGCACCAACTTTTTGGAGTGGAAAAAAAAAGCAAAACCCTTTCTCCACCTTTCTTTGGGTAAAGCTGGCCCTTTCACTTTAGAAAGCCATAGTTGTGTTAAAGCTTTAAAATGCAAGGTTTCCCAAATAATTAGATGCCTTATTAAACCCTTATTAAAAAACAGCATCCAGACAATTTTTCAAAGGGGTACCTCATGAGTGGCTCAGTTACTCAATAATATAATTGTCTGGGTGGTACTCTATTGTGAGCACCAACTTTTTGGAGTGAAAAAAAAGCAAAACCCTTTCTCCACCTTTCTTTGGGTAAAGCTGGCCCCTTTACCGTAGAAAGCCATAGCTGCATTAAAGCTTTAAAATGCAAGGTTTTCCAAATAATTAGATGCCTTATTAAACCCTTATTAAAAAACAGCACCCAAACAATTTTTCAAGGTGGTACCCCATGAGTGGCTGAGTTACTCAATAATATAATTGTTTGGATGGTACTCTATTGTGAGCACCAACTTTTGGGATTGGAAAAAAAAACAAAACCCTTTCTCCACCTTTCTTTGGGTAAAGCTGGCCCTTTCACTTTAGAAAGCCATAGTTGTGTTAAAGCTTTAAAATGCAAGGTTTTCCAAATAATTAGATGCCTTATTAAACCCTTATTAAAAAACAGCACTCAGACAATTTTTCAAGGGTGTACCTCATGAGTGGCCCAGTTACTCAATAATATAATTGTTTGGATGGTACTCTATTGTGAGCACCAACTTTTGGGATTGAAAAAAAAAACAAAACCCTTTCTCCACCTTTCTTTGGGTAAAGCTGGCCCTTTCACTTTAGAAAGCCATAGTTGTGTTAAAGCTTTAAAATGCAAGGTTTTCCAAATAATTAGATGCCTTATTAAACCCTTATTAAAAAACAGCACCCAGACAATTTTTCAAGGGGGTACCTCATGAGTGGCTCAGTTACTCAATAATATAATTGTTTGGATGGTACTCTATTGTGAGCACCAACTTTTGGGAGTGAAAAAAAACCATTTCTCCACCTTTCTTTGGGTAAAGCTGGTCCTTTTACTTTATAATATTTGTGATAAAGCTTTAAAATGCAAGGTTTTCCAAATAATTAGATGCCTTATTAAACCCTTATTAAAAAAAAACAGCGCCCAGACAATTTTTCAAGGGGGTACCTCATGAGTGGCTCAGTTACTCAATAATATAATTGTTTGGATGGTACTCTATTGTGAGCACCAACTTGTGGGAGTGAAAAAAAACAAAACCCTTTCTCCACCTTTCTTTGAGTAAATCTGGTGCCTTTACTTCAGAAAGCTATATTTGTGTTAAAGCTTTAAAATGCAAGGTTTTCCAAATAATTAGATGCCTTATTAAACCCTTATTAAAAAAACAGCACCCAGACAATTTTTCAAGGGGATACCTCATGATTGGCTCAGTTACTCAATAATATAATTGTTTGGATGGTACTCTATTGTGAGCACCAACTTGTGGGAGTGAAAAAAAAACAAAACCCTTTCTCCACCTTTCTTTGAGTAAATCTGGTGCCTTTACTTCAGAAAGCTATATTTGTGTTAAAGCTTTAAAATGCAAGGTTTTCCAAATAGTTAGATACCTGAAAAAACCATAATTGGCTCAGTTACTCAATAATATAATTGTTTGGATGGTACTCTATTGTGAGCACCAACTTTTGGTGGTGAAAAAAAAGCAAAACCCTTTCTCCACCTTTCTTTGGGTAAAGCTGGTGCCTTTACTTTAGAAAGCCATATTTGTGTTAAAACTTTAAAATGCAAGGGTTTCCAAATAATTAGATACCTGAAAAAACCATAATTGGCTCAGTTACTCAATAATATAATTGTTTGGATGGTACTCTATTGTGAGCACCAACTTTTGGTGGTGAAAAAAAAAACAAGACCCTTTCTCCACCTTTCTTTGGGTAAAGCTGGCCCTTTCACTTTAGAAAGCCATAGTTGTGTTAAAGCTTTCAAATGCAAGGTTTTCCAAATAGTTAGATACCTGAAAAAACCATAATTGACTCAGTTACTCAATAATATAATTGTTTGGATGGTACTCTATTGTGAGCACCAACTTTTGGGAGTGAAAAACAAAACAAAACCCTTTCTCCACCTTTCTTTGGGTAAAGCTGATGCCTTTACTTTAGAAAGCTATATTTGTGTAAAACTTTAAAATGCAAGGTTTTCCAAATAATTAGATACCTGAAAAAACCATAATTGGTTCAGTTACTCAATAATATAATTGTTTGGGTGGTACTCTATTGTGAGCACCAACTTTTTGGAGTGAAAAAAAAGCAAAACCCTTTCTCCACCTTTCTTTGGGTAAAGCTGATGCCTTTACTTTAGAAAGCCATATTTGTGTTAAAACTAAAATGCAAGGTTTTCCAAATAATTAGATGCCTTATTAAATCCTTATTAAAAAACAGCACCCAGACAATTTTTCAAGGGGATACCTCATGATTGGCTCAGTTACTCAATAATATAATTGTTTGGATGGTACTCTATTGTGAGCACCAACTTTTGGGAGTGATAAAAAAAAACAAAACCCTTTCTCCACCTTTCTTTGAGTAAATCTGGTGCCTTTACTTTAGAAAGCCATATTTGTGTTAAAGCTTTAAAATGTAAGGTTTTCCAAATAATTTGATGCCTTATTAAACCCTTATTAAAAAACAGCACCCAGACAATTTTTCAAGGGGATACCTCATGATTGGCTCAGTTACTCAATAATATAATTGTTTGGATGGTACTCTATTGTGAGCACCAACTTTTGGGAGTGAAAAAAAAAACAAAACCCTTTCTCCACCTTTCTTTGGGTAAAGCTCGTGCCTTTACTTTAGAAAGCTATATTTGTGTAAAACTTTAAAATGCAAGGTTTTCCAAATAATTAGATACCTGAAAAAACCATAATTGACTCAGTTACTCAATAATATAATTGTTTGGATGGTACTCTATTGTGAGCACCAACTTTTGGGAGTGAAAAAAAAACATTTTCTTCACCTTTCTTTGGGTAAAGCTGATGCCTTTACTTTAGAAAGCCATATTTGTGTTAAAACTAAAATGCAAGGTTTTCCAAATAATTAGATGCCTTATTAATCCTTATTAAAAAACAGCACCCAGACAATTTTTCAAGGGGATACCTCATGATTGGCTCAGTTACTCAATAATATAATTGTTTGGATGGTACTCTATTGTGAGCACCAACTTTTGGGAGTGAAAAAAAAGCAAAACCCTTTCTCCACCTTTCTTTGGGTAAAGCTGGTGCCTTTACTTTAGAAAGCCATATTTGTGTTAAAACTTTAAAATGCAAGGATTTCCCAAATAATCAGATGCCTTATTAAACCCTTATTAAAAAACAGCACTCAGACAATTTTTCAAGGGGGTACCTCATGAGTGGCTCAGTTACTCAATAATATAATTGTTTGGATGGTACTCTATTGTGAGCACCAACTTTTGGGAGTGAAAAAAAAAAACAAAACCCTTTCTCCACCTTTCTTTGGGTAAAGCTGGTGCCTTTACTTTAGAAAGCTATATTTGTGTTAAAGCTTAAAAATGCAAGGTTTTCCAAATAATTAGATGCCTTATTAAACCCTTATTAAAAAACAGCACTCAGACAATTTTTCAAGGGGGTACCTCATGAGTGGCTCAGTTACTCAATAATATAAATGTTTGGATGGTACTCTATTGTGAGCACCAACTTTTGGGAGTGAAAAAAAATAAAAGTAAATTAAAAGTAAATTGAAATCAATTGAAAGTAAATTGAAAGTAAAGTAAAAGTAAATTGAAATCAATTGCAAGTAAATTGAAATCAATTGAAAGTAAATTAAAAGTAAATTGAAATCAATTGAAAGTAAATTGAAATCAATTGAAAGTAAATTAAAAGTAAATTGAAATCAATTGAAAGTAAATTGAAATCAATTGAAAGTAAATTAAAAGTAAATTGAAACCAATTGAAAGTAAATTGAAATTAATTGAAAGTAAATTAAAAGTAAATTGAAAGTAAATTGAAAGTAAATTGAAAGTAAATTGAAAGTAAATTGAAATCAATTGAAAGTAAATTAAAAGTAAATTGAAATCAATTGAAAGTAAATTGAAATCAATTGAAAGTAAATTAAAAGTAAATTGAAATCAATTGAAAGTAAATTAATTAATTAAAAGTAAATTGAAATCAATTGAAAGTAAATGGAAATCAATTGAAAGTAAATTGAAATCCTTTCTTAATTTGATTGACCAAAAAAATGTTGAGGGGGGGCAAAAAAAAGTGCGAGTTATACAATGTCAAAAACATAGTTATAGTTATACCATAGTTCTCCCAGAAAATCTTCATAGCAATCTTGTCATGGGCCATGGGCGGCCAAGGCACAAGGTCATGATGTCGCAAGCGATCCGCTGTAGAGGTCCTTCTTCGCGACGTACAGTATAGAAAAACGGTGAGGAAAGAACCAAGATTCGTGGTGAAAGTCTATAGATTTGATTGGGATATTTTCAGATATAGATATAACATGATATAACACCTCTATGGAGATATAGTTCATGGGGATTAATGATGGATTAATGATGTATACCCTCTGGTTATGTCAAAATAGCTATTGAACATGGCTATTTAGAATTGATTTACCAGTAAAAATTGTGATTTTCCATAGTTATGTTCATTTACCAAAGGGTAATCTTGGTCAATAATACATGGTGATTTTGATATGTGGGGATTCTCTTCAACACACATGCTGTCATGTTGCAATTACAATTCAAGACGCTGGTTTTATGTTTGTTAGTTTAATGCGATAGATTGACTACTACCTTGGCATGATTTCCAGGTTTTTCAATTCAGATAGTTGGCTGATGTCCAACTAGAAATGATGTTTCCCATGGAAAAACTGAAAAACCCATGGTTTCCACATGTTTCCACACCGCACGTCCTGCCTGGATGCCTCTTCATAGTCTCCACCAGGTTACGCAGCATGGAAGCCATATCCACTGCCCTCGGCCGTGGTGCGATTTTTCAAACCATTGCTAATCTGACATGATGTCCTGGTTGATTAGTTCAAATAGGGAAATATACTACCCAATTGATTGGGATATTTTTTACGGATCACATACGCTGCAAACAATATTGTAAAGCTATGACTTGTATTAAACGATCCAGTCGTTTGATAGCGAAAAATGTGAGGGTTCCGTTTGGAGGGTGAGGTAGGAATAGCATGTGGGTGCGACAGAAAATGGAGCATGATTAGTCATCAGGTCTTGGAGCGTCCTATTTCCAAACAAACCCATGGAAACTAGCTGTAAACAAAGGCCTTGGAGAAACCAAGGCTTCTATGATCTACATATGGTGGAATTTCCATGGTAGCTTAGAGTGTACCTGAACACAACTTGGATTTTGAGTTGTCCATGTTTTTTTTCTGGATACATTTTGCTTTCTAAAATCAAAGCTCAGTCATGACACTGTTTGATTCTTCCCCATGTCAGCTGTTTTATACGGTCAAACTGTTTAGCCATTCACGATGACATGGCAAACATACAATAGGCTACTAGTCATGATGAACACATACAGTTTCCACAGGGGACTTTCAGGACTCCATTGTCGTACCGTTAGGTCACCATAGTTTTGGCCATATTGGGGCCATTGGGGGTTCCCCTGAAATGAAGCCCAGAAAATAGGCCCTACATATGGTAGGTAGCTCCAATGAATCGGTTCTTGAAATTCTCTGGAATGGCCATTGATGCCATTGATTTGTGCATTAAAACATGTTGGATCGAGTGTGGCTGCAACCTCTCGCCCGTGTTAGTTGCTTGATACCTCCAGGCCGTTGAAAAGCCTGATCCTTCACACACTGCCAGGTGTCCAATGTATCTATCTACTTGGGGATTTCAAAAAAAACAAAAGGGTGAATGATACTTATTACACTATATAGTTACATATATATATATATATACATATATTATATTATCAAAGGAAGTTTAGGGGGAGAAACTTCCGTGTTACGGACTTTTTGAATGTCAGGGAAAGAGTCAGTCAAAGAAAGAGTTAGCAAAGAAAGAGTTAGTCAAAGAAACAGTTAGTCAGGGAAAGAGTTAGTCAGGGAAAGAGTTCGTCAAACCAAGAGTTAGTGAGGGAAAGAGTTAGTCAAAGAAAGAGTTAGTGAGGGAAAGAGTTAGTCAAAGAAAGAGTTAGCCAAAGAAAGAGTTAGTCAGGGAAAGAGTTAGTCAAAGAAAGAGTTAGTGAGGGAAAGAGTTAGTGAGGGAAAGAGTTAGCAAAGAAAGAGTTCGTCAGGGAAAGAGTTAGTCAAACCAAGAGTTAGTGAGGGAAAGAGTTAGTCAAAGAAAGAGTTAGTCAAAGAAAGAGTTAGTGAGGGAAAGAGTTAGTGAAGAAACAGTTAGTCAGGGAAAGAGTTAGTCAAAGAAAGAGTTAGTGAGGGAAAGACTTAGTCACAGAAAGAGTTAGCAAAGAAAGAGTTCGTCAGGGAAAGAGGTCAAAGAAAGAGTTAGTCAAAGAAAGAGTTAGTGAGGGAAAGAGTCAGTCAAAGAAAGAGTTAGTCAGGATATATCAGGTAGTCAAAGAAAGAGTTTGCAAAGAAACAAGTTAGTCAAAGAAAGAGTTAGTGAGGAAAAGAGTTAGTCACAGAAAGAATTAGCAAAGAAATTGTTCCCTCACTGTAAATGGCATTGCAAGTGGTGCTGGTGGAGGAGTTGCCGATGGAGTTTTGGAGGAAGTCTCGCACGAAATGCGTTTTTGAGAGATAGCAAATGCACGAAAGCCTATGTTTTTTCATACAAAGTGCGTCCACGAACGTCGATGATCTACCTCTGCTGTGCGACGGGTGCGAGACGGTCTCGTGTGTGGTCGGATCATGTTCGGATCATGGGCGGATATGGTCGGATCGGTTCCGCATTGTAAATGGGGTGTCAACAGTTTTTCGTGCATGTGTGGTCGACAGAATTCCATTGTGATTTGCAACTGTAGGATCGTTCCCGCATTGTAAATGGGGTTGCAAGTGGTGCTGGTGGATGAGTTGCCGATGGAATTCCATTGTGATTTGCAACTCTAGGATCGTTCCCTCACTGTAAATGGCATTGCAAGTGGTGCTGGTGGAGGAGTTGCCGATGGAGTTTTGGAGGAAGTCGCGCACGAAATGCGTTTTTGAGAGATAGCAGATGCACGAAACCCTATGTTTTTCCATACAAAGTCCGTCCCCGAACCTCGATGATCTACCTCTGCGGTGCGACGGGTGCGAGACGGTCTCGTGTGTGGTCGGATCATATTCGGATCATGTTCGGATCGGTCTCGGATCATGCTCGGATCGGTTCCGCATTGTAAATGGGGTTTCAACTGTTTTTCGTGCATGTGTGGTCGACAGAATTCCATTGTGATTTGCAACTGTAGGATCGTTCCCGCATTGTAAATGGGGTTGCAAGTGGTGCTGGTGGATGAGTTGCCGATGGAGTTTTGGAGGAAGTCTCGCACGAAATGCGTTTTTGAGAGATAGCAGATGCACGAAACCCTATGTTTTTTCCATACAAAGTCCGTCCCCGAACCTCGATGATCTACCTCTGCGGTGCGACGGTTGCGAGACGGTCTCGTGTGTGGTCGGATCATGCTCGGATATTCTCGGATCGGTCTCGGATCGGTTCCGCATTGTAAATGGGGTTTCAACTGTTTTTCGTGCATGTGTGGTCGACAGAATTCCATTGTGATTTGCAACTGTAGGATCGTTCCCGCATTGTAAATGGGGTTGCAAGTGGTGCTGGTGGATGAGTTGCCGATGGAGTTTTGGAGGAAGTCTCGCACGAAATGCGTCTTTGAGAGATAGCAGATGCACGAAACCCTATGTTTTTCCATACAAAGTCCGTCCCCGAACCTCGATGATCTACCTCTGTGGCGGAAGTGATTTGTCAGCAGATTTTCTCCATTTTGGTGCTAGTGATTTTCCTTCTAAAAATCCTTTTAAAAAGTGCTTCAAAATCGTCTTTTTTTCGCTCTGGCGTCGAGATCCGGTTTTGGAGCTACAATTTCCGACGCCATTGCGCGTAGTTCTCTTGTGTTTTGCAACTCAGTCTCCGCAGATCGCATTGGAATGGCTGCGTCAAGGTTGCTTCTTGCTTTGGCTGCATGCGTAATGTCTCTTGCAGCTGGATCTCGTAAATCGTATTGGAGTGGCTGCATGAAGGCTGCGACAGTGATTTGTTAGCAGATTTTCTCCATTTTGGCGCTAGTGATTTTCCTTCTAAAAATCCTTTTAAAAAGTGCTTCAAAATCGTCTTTTTTTCGCTCTGGCGTCGAGATCCGGTTTTGGAGCTACAATTTCCGACGCCATTGCGCGTAGTTCTCTTGTGTTTTGCAACTCTGTCTCTGCAGATCGCATTGGAATGGCTGCGTCAAGGTTGCTTCTTGCTTTGGCTGCATGCGTAATGTCTTTTGCAGCTGGATCTCGTAAATCGTCTTGGACTGGCTGCATGAAGGCTGCGACATGGATTTGTTAGCAGATTTTCTCCATTTTGGCACTAGTGTTTTTTTGTTGCACGTAGGTTTAGAGCAGTGTGAAGTGTGGGGCGTGGAGAGTGCAGTGTGAAGTGTGCAGTGTGAAGGAAGCAGTGGGAAGTGAGAAGTGAGAAGTGTGGAGTGTGAAGTTTAAGTTTGGAGTGCGAAGAGCGTAGTGTGAAGTGTGAAGTGTGAAGTGTGAGGTTTGGAGTGTGAAGGGAGAAGTGAGAAATGAGAAGTGTGAAGTGTGAAGTGTGAGTGAAGTGAGAAGTGTGAAGTGTGAAGTGTGAGTGAAGTGCGAAGTGAGAAGTGTGAAGTTTGGAGTGAGAAGTGTTAAGTTTGGAGTGTGAAGGAAGCAGTGAGAAGTGTGGACTGTGAAGTGTGCAGTGTGAAGTGTGAAGTGTGAGGTTTGGAGTGTGAAGGAAGCAGTGAGAAGTGAGAAGTTTGGAGTGCGAAGAGTGCAGTGTGCTGTGTGAGGTGTGGAGTGTCGAGGGAAGGACACGGTCGGGACAGGGTGTCTTTGAACTATAGGTCATTTATGTTTGGGAAACTTCCGCCGCCGGCTTGCCCGGGTCTATGTTATTATATTATATATATATATAATAATCTATATGGCTACAAAATTAGCCAGGTATGTCATGTCATGAACTCCCTGATTTTTCAGGAATTCTTGGAACGATTGCCTGTATGAATAAGAGAGAAACATGTACATGACTTGCCCAAGTCACAGGTCGACTTGTTTTCACCTGACCTTTTTCCGCGACAGCATCGCTGCAGGTCAGCCAGATCATCCTGGGTCCCGCAAAGATGCCGATGTCAGGCATCGTTGCGGGTAGCTTTGCCCCGAGATCAGTCCACTTCTCCACCTGGTTCATGTGCTCCTGTACTTCCTGCCAAATGGATCCAAATGGTCCGGTCCCCGAAGGACCTCTCGCGTGCATCATGCGGGAAATTGCTTCACCTGAGTCAGCTCCGTGCAGGGCGAATCAATAGCAGCAGATCATCTACTGATTTGCCGTGGCACGGAGCTGCACTTCTCAGCTGGACTTCTGTTCAGCCAGCAGTTCTTCATCATGGGGCGCAGCTGCCAAAGGCCGAAACCACGACTCTGTAGCTGCCAGGTTATCATTATTGTTGGTGGTAGACCTACCCCTCTGGTTGGATGATTTTTCCCAACTGAATGGAAAGTCATAAAAGCCATGTTCCAAACCAGCAAGCAGCCATTATTGCTGGGGTTGAAGGATTTGATTTTACCACGATCTCCCGTGTCACCATGACCTTCACCGCCATCACCTTAACAGATCTCAGACGATCCCAGGTTGGCTCACGCTTGGGATCGCTTCACTGCGTAAAACCTGAGCAAACTTGAGCCAGACGTCTCTTGAGATGACAATAGATTGTATACTGTGTGTCCTATGGTGTCCAACATCTAGGGTTCCATGTCGCAGGAACTTGCCGGAACCATGTTCAAGTCCAGACCATCCCAAGCCTAGGATTCATCAATTTACTGTCTAGATCTTTGCCCTGATGCTCCATGGAATATATGTTCCAACATTTACCCCAAAAACATCACCCAATTTTGTAGGTAAATATACCAGCACCATGGAGCGTATGGGTTCTATATACTTATAACTGGTTGTACAAGGGGATTATGCATTCAGTGGTGTTACAAGTACTTATAACTGTTATTTCGGGCCATCACTGTAGATCTTTCTGTATACATTCTATATGCCTTCTATAGAAACATCATGGTTTTCGAGAACTGGAACTGCTTGGTGGTTGAGCCCTACCCCTCTGAAAAATGATGGAGTTCGTCAGTTGGGATGGATTGAAATTCCCAATATGAGGGGTTTTTGTCATAATCCAGCCATGTCCCAAACCACCAACCAGTCTTCAGTTTCGAACTAGCTATAGCTTAGTTTACCAGAGGGTAAATCACCATTCTTCATGGGTAAATCTCAATCAACTCATCAACAGAAACACCAAAAACGGAGGATTGGCTCGTCCCATGCATGGATCCAGACCCCGACCCCGAACCAAGCATCGCAGCGGCAACGCCGAGGCAACGAAGGACTGTGAGCAACGCCTCGAGCGAATCATGGGGAAACCATATGGGGAAATGCTGGGAATTTTAGCTGGGTTTTGATGTTGGGAAAATATGGTGATTCTATGAAATGTTAAATATATCATAGATAGATTTCATGCATCAACCAATGCCATAGGATCCATGTATAGTATATATGCTAACATTTGGGGTATATTGATGGTAAATGTTACCATATATGGCATACATGGATCCTATGGGAATGTATATTATATACTGAGAAATAATGAAGACATACCATAGGAATATCTAGGAATAAACCATCAATATCTGGGCCCTATGGATCCAAGTATACCTTTTTTAGCAAGTATTTGGGGGTAGAGTGCTTTGCCGGAAGCTATTTGTATCCATAGGGGGGATATAACATGATATAACGGGTATGGAGTGGGAATACAAAATTGGGATATGAACGATACAACGTGTGAAAAAGAATCAAGATAGTCTAGAGGTTTTCTGAAGGTGGCGCCCTCTGTGTGATCATTGTTGGGTTTTAAACAAAAACCATAGAGATATTCTTTTACCAGAACCCCTTGTGAGATTGGAAGTATAAACCAACTTAGCTAACTATCACAACATTGAATCGATGTTAAGATCTTTTAGCCCGATATGATGTACCGTATGTGATATGTTTATCCTCTGAAACCGTCAAGACAAGGTTCCCATTAACAAGGATTATATAGGTTCTCCTCAGCCAAAGGAGAAGGGTTTTGCTTCGTGATTGTGAGGTCAGAACTTCATAAGTTGCCAAATCCAATAGACACTGTGAGATAAATATGTGCAGCAAAAACGTGAGAACATGTTAGTAAAAGTGGTAGTTCCAAGCGACACAAATTCGAAATCTAGTTGTTAGAGTCTAGTCAACACAAGTCTGGGTGCCCTCACAAAGGAAAAGCTGAACAAACCACCAAGGCGGTACTACCAATGGTAAACCAACATAGCTATGAAAAATCACCACTCTTCATATCTATAAATGGGTCATGTTTCAAAGCTAGGTTAGGTTACCAAGGCGGCTGCCCTTTGATGCCCATCATTGCCCATCCAAAAGGTGTCTGAGAAGAGCCATCCCAAGGCCTCCCAAGCACGTTCCTGCAACATCCGATTCTGTGGATGGAGCTTGATGACCCGCAAAAGCTGCTTGCCCACCTTACCTCGGTGTGTGAGGAAAGGTGATGCCCACTTCGGGAGTAACTCACAGTATAAACAACGCCTCAAGATGTCCCAAGCATATCTACACATGCAAACATAGCACCTGTCTTAATGATGTTTTCTGTTGATTGAAACGTTTGCAATCGCAGCACTAGATCAAAATATAGATTAGAAGGGTTTTCACACATGCACTACGAACCCTGCATGAAACAAAGGTTTACCTCAATATGGTGCTTAATTGGCCCCTGTCGCTATAAATAATCCAACCCGATTCACCTCCAAAATGCCTCAGGGACCCCACCTTGAGTTTCTCAACGTTGCTTGGTGACCTAGAAACCCAAAGAAAAAATTGTGTGACCATATGACCTCAAACAAATAACCACCTCATTTTCATGGTTTAAACTCCCGATTTAATTTTTAAAATTTGGTTTCACGGACGGTTGAGCAAATGTTAACCGTCATTTGTCAATTTTGCTCAACATTTCAGATGGTCTCAACGGTCAGTGAAACCAAAGCGCTGCAGATAATTGCAATTAGAGTCGTTAGAGACCATCTGTTCTTTTGAAATTTAAAACGCACATTTTAATCCCACATCATGGCCATTTCAGATCTAAATTCTCGTTTCTTGCAGGTGAAACATCCCAAATGTGAACAACCCATCATCTCCATATCTTTGCTCGAAGCCAATGCAGAGTGGTGCCCCGCAGTTCTTTTTGTGGGTTTATTTCCATCATCAAACTATACACATATTGGATATATCTACATTTTCAGCACATCCGTTCACCTATTTATGTCAACCAACTTAGTCAAGTATGGGCACCACGAATAGCTCATATATCCCAATATTTCCCGATATTATACCTCCATCAAAAGTTTGGTTTTATCATTACCCACTAGCCAGAAATTGGATGAAATTGCACTCCAAAAGTTGGTCCATAACCCCCTCTTGCTATATAATTATACAATTTTATATATATATATATATATCCCATAAACTCTAGCTAACCTGTTGCGTTTATCGACTAAGTAGTAAACTTCCATTTTGTTTGGTCAACATTTCTGGTAGTTAACTCTTCATCTTTGCTAAACGAGCACCACTAGGAGCATCACCCGCGTCATATGATTCACCAGCCTCCAAATTTTGGGATAATCCATCTACTCATCATTCCAGGACTGCAGGCTTCGGACGTTCTAATTCATCCAGATTCATGGCCTTATAGATGCTTATATCAAGTTATATCACTTGGATATGAGCTCAATATAGTCATCCCACCTAGTAAGTGGTTACTAACCCGACTTGATACGTGAATTAATTGCCGTTATCCACTGATAACTGCGTGAACTAACCCCACAAATACTAATCAGCCTGCATGCGGGGGGATACCCACCTATATCTACAAGTGTTTAATGGTTTTTCTCTAAAAATCCCCATGAAATCGCCATGAGAAACCGGTTTTTAATGGTTTTTATACCATCTGTCCCCTTCAAATGGCGAAACCGTCTCCACCACGGCACCGGGCACCGCGCTCTGCGCCGCGTCCGCCGCGTGGCTCAGCACCGCCGCCGCCAGCGTCACCGTCTTCGGCGCCGCCGCGTCTAAGGCACCGGCGGCCAGGTGGACGGCGGACGCGGCATCGCTGATCCCCTCCTGTGGATGGGATATGGGATATTTATGGGATATTTATAGGATATTATTGATATGTTATGTCTATGATATGAAGTTATAATCTATGGACTATGGAAAAAACACTGTTATATATGGATATATCTTTATCTATCTATATGGTATTTAAGCAGTTTATATTGGAATCACATATCCAAAGGCAGCTATAGACAGTCTGGAAATAGTTTAGAGAAACGACGGCAACAATCAGGGTTGAAATTGGTTCACTTCTTGGGATCGGAATAGCATTCCGTGGTAAGTTTTAAAATTTAAGTATAGGTAAAATAATGGAATACTGGACTAGTGGAAATCTAATGGGATATTATGAGTTTGTATACATAATGGAAAAAATAAGTGGCAATATTTAGGTAACTAACCAGAAATATAATAATGTATATACCCTATAGAAATTACTCAGAGAAAATGCCAAGCAAATACAGTAATTGTCTTGTATTTATTCATTCCTCTGAAAAATATAAGAAACTAAGAAAATGAAATAATGGAAAAATGGGATAATGAAAAGTGCTATATATTCTGTATATGTATGGAAAACAGGCGAACAAAAACAAAAGGGGAAAAAATCGTGGTGATTAACACTGTGAAAATAACTACTGGTTAACTACAGATTTAAAATGGTCCATGTTCACCAAGTTATGGGAATTAAACTGTTAGGAAAGGAAATCCACCAATGGATAAATATGGAGTTTAGCCTCCAAATCGTGGAATGGGATATGTCTAATGCGCATGTAACGGGAATATACTGCGTGTTATATGAGGACATTTCAAAGGGACCACCAATCAATATACGAAAACAAACATGGGCATGCACAGGAAACAAACATGGTTTAATTCATCTACTACCCTGACCCCTCCGAAAAAAGACTATAGCTAGTATTTCTTATCCCCTATCAAAATGACAAAAGCCATAAATTATAGACATACAACACTACCACGTTGTGGGAAACTTTGATTGCAGTTTCTTGGCTGGCTCCCCATTTCATATGAGGAATAAGTACATAGCTCTGTTTTGTCATTGGGATCAGGCTAGGTAGCTAAGCGGCTAAGTTTGTAGCTAACTGGAAGAGGAATCGGGAATGAAGCTTTGTCAAAAATTGTAAAAAACACATCATAACTTCAGAGCATAGACCTAGACTACCAGTGACCACCACCTTCTGCACATCGCTTTGGCAATGGCAAAGAAGATACGGAACCGACGGGAAGCGACGGACTCCGCGGTCCGAGGTCAAGCTCTGCCCGTCCGCCCGTCCTTCTCCAAAGTGCCCCACAGCAAGGCCAGAGCCGGATCCAGGATGGAGCTGTCCTGGCGATGGCATGATGGAGCTGCGGAGGGAATCCGTAGCTCAACCGTGGTGAGTGATCAGTTGGATAGTGCATTATATGTTATGTGTATATATACATATATATATAATAATGTATTAATGTATAAGAAAATAAAGAAACAATGTAGTTGATTGTTAGATTTTATCACATATTGTCAATACATAGAGAGAGAATACTAAAGTAAATGGATTGATACATCAATAAATAAAGTAAATAAATCAATAGATACAGATAAACTAGATAGATAAGAAACAAATAAACAAACAACTGGATTGTTGGATGGATTAGTACATTGATGGATGGGCAACCAAATATATTTACAGACATGCTCTCATCCTGGGGTGTCAAAACTACCATGAACATGATTTGGGTGGCATCGCATCTACCTCAGTGTGGTTGCCGTGCCGTGCGTACATAGCTGACTTCGGATACCTCTTGGACAGGCTATCTGACCAGGGCTTGGTCAGCATACCAATGGGTTACCTTGCTGAAAACACAGCAAGGGGGACCTCTATGTTTTGCTGGTAATGTGACCATTGCATAGTGAGGATTCAATTCTACTGATGCTGAGAACCCCCTCAGTTGGCGATCCCAGGTGCATTTACATATTCCAAAATGGGTTGAATGGTACGACTTGTACTTGATCCTACTACGATTCGTAGATCATACGTGCACAATAGTTGATATTTAATTTGGCTGAACTATATAAATAATTCACTAATCTGAAATTTTTGGGATAGCTACCCCCTACCAATCACTAATCATCTTTCCAGTGAGGTCGCAGTGGGGTCGTTAATTGATCCAAATATTGTAGAACACTTTGTGTCATAGGGCGCTTGCCCGCTGATAGCCACCAAGTGGTACCCGCCAGTGGTGTCTGTTGGTTTTTAAACCCACTAACTTGAGTTCTATCTACCAGTAGCCTATCCCCCCACAAAGGCCTTTTAGCGATACCCAAAAAATAGAAAAGTAAACACTTACTAACAAAAATGATGGTCCCAATGGTAGTCTAGTACCTATTAAAGGATAAGTATCCAGTGGTTCCAGCATCAACCCTCAATGCCTGGGGTACCAAAAAGTGAGTGGTTCAAAGGTTCTCACCAACAAGGTGGTGCCCCACTTCATGAGCTAGTTCGTTGAAACAAGTAGGATACCATACATATAGTGTATGATAACTAGACCCACATAGTAATAAAACTACAAGGGTATAATTATATATATATGGATATATCTTCATATCCAACATATACTAGGATAGTTAGTTAGTGATTCGAAACTAGAGATAAACAAACACCACAGCGCCAAGGCTCCGGGTACCGGCGCAAAATCTGCATCAGCAGCTCTGCGTCACCTGGGCCAATGATTTTACCCTGAAGGGTGTCATCAAACATCGCTGGGAAGGCCCCTGAAATCTCCTGTAAATGTAGGTTTTGACATGTTTTAACATTGTTAACATGTTTCTGGTTGGTGGTATACCTACCCCTCTGAAAAATATGAGTTCGTCAGTTGGGGTTATGAAATTCCCAATATATGGAAAAATAAAACTGATGTTCCAAACCACCAACCAGGTTTTCATTAGAAAATCATCTAAATATAGAAAGGCGTCACAAGTTCCAGCGTTTCTGCTGGCAGAAGTCATCCTGCAAGGTGGTGCCTCGCAGCTATGCTGCTCACCAGTGTTCCAAAAACATGTGGTTCCCTTCCCCAATATTAACCCATATTCAAGCCCCTATGGAACCGGCAAGCCCGTAATATTTGTCAGCAATTCAACCCCTATTGTTGGCTTGTAAAATTTCATCTATTTATTGGTAACCCATCTAGTTTCGCTATTTCACATCGTGGCCAAGCCGCTATGTTCCGGTATTACGATAATATGTCCATTGAAACCTTCATGTTTGGCCACTTTCCATTGCCATTTGGTGGTGTCTTGAAATAGGAGTACCCCCAAATCATCCATTTTAATGCTATTTTCCATTATAAACCATCCATTTGGGGGTATCCCCATGATGGAAACCACCATTTCCAGCGCCACCCCGTGGCCAAGCCACACTCTCTGGGTGTCTTCGGCGCCAGCACCGCAAAGCCAAACTGCTTCGCCACGGGCGCCGGCGACGCCGTGAGGCTTTGCAGCGTGGCGAGGCAGGCGCTCAACACGCGCTCGGCGGTGTGGAGGCGTAGGGCGGAGACCAGGACCTGCTGGGAGAAAACGGGTTCTATAAGGATTATAAGAGGAATGTTATATATATATAGATTTATATATTTATGATACTTTTGGATATATTGGGACATATGTTGAGTATATAAAACTGGTTTCTCTCTCTCTCTCTCTCTCTCTGTCTCTCCATCGCCTATCTCGGGAGATCAGCAAATAGTTTTGAGTACAACATGGGATTGGATATTTTTGGAATATCAATGGGCATATGCTTCGGGAGTATTAACGATATATTTAACAAAAGAACATGCCCAATAGGTAGTGAAACACTAAGAACATGGTAATATGGAGATTGTTGGTTCTTAGGGTATATATAGTTGTTAGCTTGATGTTTGTTGGTTTGCATTAAATCGGGAATATACAGACTAAAACAAAACCATGCGCAATTCGGTTCCCACCATCAAAAATAGAGGTTTAATATGGTTTTAACCTTCCTGAAATGATGATAAATGATATAGCTGATAATCAAATTTCTGGGTAAACCGACTTGGTGTAGTTCTGGCACTGTTGATATGATGGAGATTTGCATTTTTACGAACAATAATTAAACAAATTCAACAAACAAAGGAAAATCATGATGATCATCAGAGCTGATTATTTCATAGATGAAACGGTGGCTTTCTGCGCCGTCTATCCAGATACCTACTATGCCGCTTCTAAGGTGTTTGCCGCATGGAATCAACGGACGGAAGCACGTTTGATGTAGGAATCACCTGAAACAGAATAGAAAAGTACCAGTCAAATGCCCATGACTATGAAGGAATATCTTTGTATGCCTAAACCTTTATCACATATATATATATATATATGTGTAGATATAGGTATAAATAATATATAGAGATAGATATATGACATATTCATCTCCAAATCTACCAGCTAAGTTTAGATGTACATACATATACAATATTTCCATAAATCTGGAAAATCACCATTTTGAATAGGTAAATCAACTATAAATCAACTAGTACAGATGTACACACACATATATATATAGATATTGTATATATATATATAGATATTTTTTAAATATATATATTCAATATCATATATTAAATATATCATAGATTAAATCATATTATTATAGATTATTACATATATCAGATATTAAATATCTAGATATTTTATATAGATATTATATATATATATATACTATATATACAAATATAATATGTTTCACAACACATCGAGCCTCCGCCGCTCCCAGGCGCAACGCCACGGAGCCGTCGCTGCCCACCACCAGGCGGAGTGCCTGGGGTGGACCCGGGTGGCCGGGATTAGCTATGGAAACCACTGGAAAAATGGTGGTTTAATGGGATTTTAATGGGATTTAATGGGATTTTAATGGGATTTAATGGGATTTTAATGGGATTTTAATGGGATTTAATGGGATTTTAATGGGATTTAATGGGATTTACTATGATTTAATGGGATTTTAATGGGATTTTATAGTGATTCAATGGGATATTAATGGGATATACCCTCTGGTAAACTAACATAACTATGGGAAATCAGTATTTTTAATGGCTAAATCAATTATAAATGGCGATATGCCGATATTCTCATCTGGTTGGTGGGATACCTACCCCTCTCAAAAATGTGAGTTCGTCAGTTGGGAAGGATGACATCCCATATATTATGGAAAAAATGTTCCAAACCACCAACCAGTTATATCAAATGGTGAATATATCTCACTGTTTTTCATCATTGAATATATTGTTTCCAAAATTAAGACTGGTCATGACTGGTAATTTAAGCAAAAAAACATGACACTTCAAAGATTGTTTTTTCACATGTCTAAGCATAAACATGGTAACAGGGCCACAAAAGGGCCCCCTTTCAATCAGCCCAAGGGACGTTGGCGGCCTTCTCTTGTACCGTTGCATTGCTGCCGTGCTGACGCATGGCCTTCAGGGGTCAATAGCTCTCACCCCCGTCTCACCGGCGACGTTTAAAAGTTTTGAGGCTAATAGCCATTACAGTTGCAGTACATCACACTACATCCAGCAGTTGTGGGTGAGGTGACCACTGCAACCATTGCAACCATTCCAGCAAACACAACTCCAACCACCTTTCGGTCAATCAGTGGATTCGCTCTGCCATCCGTGATTCACAACAACCGTCTCCTATAGGTTTCCTATTCTGAAACTTCCGCCACCGCCTTGTGCGGTACTACTGGTAGCCATATCGGCAAATGCATTGTCAGTGATGCAACTCTAGTTTATGATGGATACATCATGATACATCTAGAGATGATAGATACATCATGATACATCTAAAGTGAACGGTGGTTTTGAAACCAACAGGGCCCACTTTCTGGGGGACCAAAAACCGACCAAGCGGCTTCCAACAAGAGTTCTGGTGCGCGGCTCTCGGCCTCAGGCGACCCAATGGATTTCTTAGTTGCTAAAGAAAACGATCGGTGAATTCTATGGCCTATGCTACAATGTTTCTATAATCCATTAATTACCATCTAGTACTATCTATCTAAATGAATGACTATCTATTATTTCATGTTATTTCTAAAATGGGGGTTATATGATTGATCATCTATGTCTGTTTCTATGGGGATATGAACCAACAAACATCACTGCGGGCACCACCTCGTCCAACGCTTCACCAAGATCTACCGATCGACCGAATCCTGGGTTATTGGTCCTGTGTTACCCCAATGTCTGCCGATTACAACAACCCCCCCGGAAATTGACATCATTGCCATACGCATCCCCCCAAACAATATTGTTGACGAAAAAAATATATATAGAATTATATAGATATATGCGTGTTGCCAAAGAAATCCCATTCAACAACAAACAAAATGTTCTTGCCATTTCATAAAATTCCATGCGCAAAACATCTAGATAAATTCTGGTGGATCCATCATCCTGAAGAGTTCGGCCAGTTTGGGATAGTTAACCCCTATTAACTCACCATCATTGACGTCGCGACGAGGTCGCTCCCAAGCCCCGTTGAACTGCCGGGTGACCATGCTTCTTTGGTGCCCACCTGGCGCAGGGAGCCCAAATGACCATGGCATATGCTGAAGTGATTTCTGATATCCACAATCAATGGATTACCATGATGAGAAAAATGTTCACTTAAATATCATTCCAAATTGGGCATATATATATATATATGAGCAATCTCGAAAACCCTAGGTTCACGGAAAGGACATCCATACATACTTTCAGCAACACGTTGGGGACAAACGTTTTTTTTGTGGATCCACGCCAGAATCCTGGCATGAAGTCCCCAGATTTCCAACTTCAACCATATTTCCAGCTGAAATCCGCAATTTTTACAGCTTCTCCAAGGCTTTTCCAGCTGAAATCCCCATTTTTTACAACTTTTCCAGGTTTCAGCTCCAGTTTTACAGCTTTTTCAGCTGAAATCCCCGTTTTTACCGTTGACATCTGCTGAAGCTCCGCCCCCTTCGCACCCGCCTCGTAAGACAAAGGCGCCGATGGCGCTGCTGCCACAGGCTTGAACTTCCACAGCTCCAAGGTGCGCCTGTCGCTGGAGAAAACCACTGCCAAAAATGGAAAAAAACATGGCTTTGATGGTGATGAATAGGGATTTTCAACCATGTTTTGATGGATATACGGATAATATTATCCAATATGGTGATGAATAGGGATTCAATAGGGATAGTATATATATATATATATATGATCCAAGTGGATTCATGGTGATTTACTCAAGATTCATGGACAAAAGGCAGAGATTTGATGATGTTTTTATGATGATTCATGTCGGTTTGAAGGTGATGAATAGGGATTTTCTGGGATTAATAACCAACAATGTGATACATATTGCATACTGTTTTTATAGCAATATATATAACAACCAACCAATGTAAATATGATGATTAAATATGTAATTATTGAACCAACATAAATGGGGATTTCAATGGGAATTGCCTTCTGGTAATCAAACATGGCTCAAACAATCAACAAAACCATGGTTGAGTAAGGAATAAAGACACATTCATGTGGGACCAAAGCATGGGGGTGTGAAATATGATCGGCGGTTGCATGCATCATCTTTAATCTTAATGGACACGAATCTTCGAAAAGCCCCTATGTGGTATCGGTATCGTCCATGTTAGCTTCCTGGAACATAAAAATCTTGAGGGGAAGGGGTTATGATTAAAACTGTTTATCTTCGCTGTTTCATTAAAACACAACGTAAGGCGGCCATATTAGCATATGAGGCGTACCCCTTCATTTTCAGGCACTACATGCCGCGAGGGGATTACTTGTACAAGGTGCGACCCCTTAGATAGCCATGTTGTAACCTGTACAAGGTGCGACCCCCATGTTACAAGGTGCGACACCATAGGCAAGTTGGCTTGCAACCAGGCTTCACATGGCCTATGGTTTATTGCAGTAGATGTTATATCCTGGTGCCCATTGTTTTGAGCACTTTCCCACAGAGGCTGGAATTGTGGTCACTGTATACCATTTTAGAAGTAGGATTCTACCTTTCTGGCACGTTACGTGTATATCGTGTATTTACAGCACTAAAAGAGTGGTAATTCTTGGCACTTTTGACGAACATGCAGAAACCAAAAAAAAGTGCCTTTTCTGTTGATAGAAATTAAACATGTGGTTCCGAGATGTTCCGAACGGTCGATGGTCAAGGTAAGCCTGAAACAACAGGCAACGACGGCCTTCCAGGTACTACTGTGGGATTTGATTACAGTCGTGGTGGATGTTCCAATCAGAAATTCAACACCCTACCAGATGGGTCCTCCTAGTTATAAGGTGGTTTATTAAGCACCATGAAAATTTTAGTGATGTCTACAGCATAGAGATCAATAAAGTATAGATACTTGTTATTTCAACCAACTTCGCTATCATAAATCAGCTACATCCCTTTATATCATTTTATATCATCATTTCTCTCTCCAGATTTATCACCATGTTCCTATTGTTTCCCACCATTTTACTGGCTTAGATCATCATTTTCACATGGGAAAACCCATGGTTTTCCCATGGTTTTCCTATGCTTTTGCTGATGAAATCACAAAAACTATCGCCTCCATGGCGTTGAAGACCAGCCCTCGAGTTGCTTTGTCCACCGCCGCCACGCGGGTGGCGTCGGACTTCAGACAGAAACGACCCAGGAAGGCCATGCCACAGGCCTGTCATCATTGCCAGCCAGATACCCTGGTGATAGCTGGTGATATTTCATGATTAATGATGGTTAATGATGGTATATTTAATGAATAATCATTGCCAATCAGCCACTTCCTCCGCAAAAAATGGACCAAATTCTTTGCTGGTGAACGTAGATATTCCCATTGATACCAAAAGACTAAAGGATTGAAGTACCCATCTAAGAATGACCTAGTCATAGTGAGATGGATGATTAAACACGGCTTTTTCACCGTGTTCAACCTTAAGTGATGATTTACTAATGTTGGTGAATTACGAAGAATGGTTAACTATTAATTGATTAAACAAGCCCTTATTAAATCACTTGGTTTAAACATCAATCTTTGTTGGTGAATCACTAATCTGGTTGGTGGTTGAGCCTTACCCCTCTGAAGAATATGAGTGAAAGTCAGTTGGAATGATGACATTCCCAACATATGGAAAAATAAAACATGTTCCAAACCACCAACCATATTGGTAATTAATGTGAAGTTGGCTGAAACTACTAACTGTAGGATAACTGTTGGGGTTATAAGGTAGATACAATACACTTTGTAAACCAACACACATTTCAACAGAAATGGTGGTTTAGTGTTGTGATTGGTGATGGTAGTGGCTGGCAACCTATCGGTGAAAGCACTAGTTTTCCCCATGAAACAGAAGCGAAGCTTTACCCGTCAATGTTCCCGTAAGCCGTTAAGTTGGAATATACAGATTTTACATGATTTAACCAACCCGAGGTGCTATTTAGTATTTAGCCAGGAAAATGGTGAATTTGACGAGAAAAACAAATTTATCATTCAGAAAATGGGAAGACACGGGAATTCAAGCAACCAACATGTTGCATTCAGCCAGTAGTCAATGCTGTTTAGACGCCAAACTGCCAACTACTAAATAAGTACAAAAAAAATAAAAAACGGAAGGGGACATAAGGGGACATTTTTTTGTATAAAGACCAACAAAACAACAACAACAACAACAACAGCAACAACAACAACAACAACAAACAACAACAAACAACCAAACAAACAACCAAACAAACAACCAAACAAACAAACAAACAAACAACAACAACCACAACGACGACGACGACGACGACAGCAGCACCAACAACAACAACAACAACAACAACAACACCAACCAACCAACCAACCAACCAATCAACCAACCAATCAACCAACCAACCAACCAACCACCAACAACAACAACAACACCAGCAACAGCAACAGCAACAGCAACAACCAAACAAACAACCAAACAACCAAACAACAACAACAACAACAACAACAACAACAACAACAACAACAACAACAACAACAACAACAAATACAGTAGGGAAGGAAATCCATGGATTTAGGCACGTCTGACCTGCAAATGGTGAATTTTCCTTCCATCTTGATGATCGTTTACCGGAAAGTAAGTGATTTTAGCAGCAATGGGGGGCTCAACCAACGAAAATCAATTGGCATGTTTTGTTTTGTGTCCATCAAACATGCTGATATCAGCACCCACAGTTTTGGCCATTTATTAGTTATAACCTATAACTGGTTATTTGTATGGGATTATACATTCTATGAATGGGCTTTTAAGATGTTTTAAGTACTTATAAGTGGTAAAGGGCCATAACTGCAATAATGTGGTAGTATAGCAACTTTCTCAAGAAATGTTCTCGACAAACCTGTCAGATTTGACCCACCATGCTGACATTTGAAAAAAATCCAAACATCTTTCCAGGGGTCCACTATTGAACAATAAGAACTCGGCCTGCAGTGGGTGACCCCCATTTCGCAACGATTAGCCATACAGGCCAACATCTGGCGTTTTGGAAGTCGTTAAAAGTCGCCTGCTGGGGTTTATCTTTGGGCAATTTTCTTAACTTCTATGCCGCCCGGGAAAGATGGAAATGTGTCTATCCCAGTCTACCCAGTCTATCCCATGGGCCCAGGGGCTTGTTCCAATCCAAGGTTTGCAGCACCTCATCACCATGGGCCAAGCAAGCCAGCACATGCTCACACAAGTGAGCTTGCCAGGCCACTTATGGGCCTCACAGGCATCAGCATCAGCGTTCCAACAGCCCAGCCAAGCCTTGGAAAAGGGACACCAAATGAGCATTTGAAGGTGACGTAGAAGAAGAAGCCGAGGACGAGGATGAAGGCCAGAATGGTGGACCACCACCCTGGCCCTTTCCACCACCGGCCTGGCCAATTCATCTTTGAGGAGGATTGCCACCACCACCAGTTTGATCATCTGATCCATGGACATGAAAGTTGATCTGGCTCCAAGTGCGCCTACTTTGATTGTGAATCCTTCTCCATGGCACCATTGGCTGCATCTTGAAGTTGCTGGATCCATCTCGAGCTGTCAGTAGATCGAGGACAAGTTCAAAAACAAGAGCTCTGGAGCGATCCATTTCCTGCATGTTCGGATCATTCACAAGACTTGCCATCATCTTGTTCAATCACCATATCAGGTTTTCAAAAACATCCCGCCGGACCGGAAACCGTGCTCATCGGTGTGCACATTTTGTCCAAAAAGGGTGGTTTTGCCACAGTGCCGAGTTGATTTCTGATGTTGGAAACCTTGCAAAATCTGAGGCGCCTTTTTTGCCTTTTCACCGTCATCGCTGCAACGCATGCACCGTTTTCAGCTGGCAGCCAGCATTCTTGTGAATGCATCTCCATTGCCAAGCTCTAGCATACACCATCTAGAGGTCACTTTTGGCACTCAAGTTGCTGGGAATTGACTTTTTAATCTGATTCCAGAGATCTCTGCAGCATAGCAAACTATAATCTATAATATACGAGGTACAAGGAACGTTGACATGCCCCCCCCCCCCCCCCCGCCCCATCAGCAGCGTAGAATCATGTCACGTAGCAACAACACCAGAGATCCCTGCAGCATAGTAACAAGTAACGTAGCAACGATCCCAGAGATCCCTGCAGCGTAGCAAACTATAATGTACGAAGTACAAGGAACGTTGACATGCCCCACCCCACCCCACCCCAACCTAACCTCCGAAATTGCGTTTTTCAAAAACGTGCGTTTCACGAGCACGGTTTTCGGTCCGCAGGCAAAAACATGCATCTTCACATGTCCCCATTTCAGCTGGGAAAAAAAATGCATCTTTTGTGGAAATTCCCAAGCCTGACGGATGTCGGCCCCCAAAGTTGCTGTAGAGTTGCTTTTTAAGCAAGCAGTCAGAACACTTGTCACTGCTACATTATACTTTGCGGGTGCATCCCAGTTAGTAGGTGGTGAAAAACCCACATCTCTGGGTAAATTAGAAAAACTCACTAACCTAAAATAAGGCTTTATTGGGATAGTTACCCCTGACCAACTATCATTCCAGTGAGGTCGCAATGAGGTCGTTATAACTTACCCAGGTTTACACACATAATATATATATATACATACATACAACGCACACACACATATTGACGTGACGTGTATATATATATATATATATATCCAGATATACTATAGATATATCTAGGATCTAGCTGGGTAAATCTAGTAAGATCCAAGTGGCGCCGCACAGGCGGTGCCCTGGTATCCACGAGTGCTTTGACAACTAGTTCCGCTTGTGGGTTTAAAGCCGCTTAAGATGGATCTAGCATAAACCACAGTCAAACTAGTTATGTTATGTTATGTTTACGATTTGTTCAATCTAGTAGACTTCCATCTTGCTTGGTCAAATCACCATTTCTGTCCGTTCACCCTCCAACTTGTTGCGGCTAAAACTGCTGTATCACCACGAGCAGTGCCCAAGGGACCTGAACTTGAGCCGCGTGCGGATGCCGTTGCATGGCAAAGGAAATGAGATCCAGAAAGCTGTATCTGCCGTGTGGACACGGTTGACACGTGAGAAGCTGTCAAGGGTACTGGGCCCATGGGGGGAAGTCACCTCCACAAAAATGGGGCGTACTATGGGATAATATATGATCATATCATATGGATATCATATGGAATAGTCGATGGATTTTGCGGTCCAAAGGGCCATTAACAAATACAACATGTTCCCATGTCGATTCCCCATGTTTGGTGGATTCACGAGTAGAAAAAAAAGAACATCTTCAGCAATTCCAAGAAACGTTGACGTTTGGTCGGATATAAGACCTTCTTGGGTCATAGCAGTCATAGCAAAACCAAATCAGTTCCCCTTCAAAACCTGGCAGCCAGCCGCCAGCTTCTGCATCAAAATAATATGGTTTGCAAGTTTTTAAAAAAGAACAAGTACATAATTCGGCGATATGCAGGTACAAACGGACCTTGGTTTATACGGTGAGTTATGGTGTATCGACGGTATCGAACTAGTGATGGGAATTGGACTCCTGGACCGGGCACCAACCACCACTAACCATCACTTGCCATGATGAAATTGTTGTATAGGCAACTATTGTGCTGACACCTATGAACCACTACTAACCACTATTAAGCACGATCAAATGTATGTGTTAACCATGAATTAGAACTTCAACCATCACAACTGCACGATGAGTCACCGCGACTTCCCCCGTGCCGCCCAAGTGGCTTCCCCAACTCCTCCGCCATCTTCCTGGATATTTCGAACGCTTCGCAGGCCACCATCATTGGTCAACGACTTCACCCGGGAATCATGAGAATTCCATAGAATTAGCTAGTGCCCTGTCCAGTCACAAGTTGATAAACCCCATGAACTAGTTCGATGCAACTACCATAAACCGTAGTATTAACCATAGTTCACCATAATTAAACTATAGTTCACCATAATTAACTCCTTCCAAACGTGAACCTCACCATAGCACCATAGCCGGATTGGGGGACCTAAAGACCGCGGATCCGAGCGGCTCACAACGAAGCAGTTCACTCAAGGCTGACAAGGCCCATCTGCAAACCTCTTCGTGGGCGGAATGCTCCTGCGGAGGGTTCGCATTTGGTGAAGGGACAATCGGAAGAATTCTTTTGGGATAGGATGATACAAGGCATGATACAAGGGGATAATTGGATAATCAATATCTGGTAAATTCTGGTAATGTGGCACCAGGCTGGCACCAGGTAATGCCCCCAAACCTTAGCTCAGTTGGTGGAAATAAGGAGGATAAACTATCGTTAATGGTCGATATAACTAGAATTAGTGATATTTCGAAATCAAGTTAGCTAAGTAGGGAGGCACCTTGTGCACAAACACAGAGCAACTGTGTCAACAATCAGGTAACCCGTACGGATGGATGCGCTTCCCAATTAGTTGATGGGTCGTGGACCATAATGTATAGCAACCCAAAAAAAATAGAAGTTTGTAAAATCCTACTCAATGATGAGTGGTATATTGCTTTTCCATATTTTTGACTCTTTTTGGGGCTTCTATAAGACAAACTTGTGACCATAACTTGTGACCATTCACCGTATCAAACTTTGCTTGAAGATGTTTTTTTACTACCCACCTACTGTACTACCTGGGATGCACTGGTCAAGTCAAGTAGGCTTATCGTCCCAAATAGACTGGAACACTCATAAAATTTTGAAATCTTAGGCAGCTAATTTCCATGGTTTAAAATGTTTAAAGATGTTTAAAGTCTTTCCGGACATAATTTGTTCGAAAGGTACTGCGGGTCGCATATCAATGATTTCCAGGGGTGGAACCTCCCCTTCGACAAATGAATACAGTAGAGTCTGTGTGGCTGATGTCCGTGTGTTTTTTTGCTGCGCCCCTCTGTCTTGCCAAATTCCAACCATGCAACCCCAACGCATATCTCATCCTGAAACATTGGGATCCATGATTGGGTAAGTGTTTCTGAACGAAACACGGGAGTGAAATGGTCTTCTTAGATGGGGTGTGGAGTTAGTATGAGTTAGTTAACTAGTATATAATGTTATATATATATAGAGTACTTGATTGTTTACATGGAGTCTTTGTGTCGGTTACAAGCTAGTCCCATGGCCCGTCTAGGTATTGAACATTGTGAAACAATAAACCGTGATAGTGCGAAATGAGTCGACGAATGATACTGGCTGGTGGTGCAATAACCATTTTGAAAAATAGGAGTTCGTCAATGGGAAGGATTATCCCATATATTATGGAAAATAAAAATGTTTGAAGCCACCAACCAGGATATGATACATTGATACTATACAAATTATTAAACTGTCCACCCCAATGCAACCCCTCAAGGAGCAACATCAAATGTTTGATGTTGTGAGCTCACAGTTTTGACACACGCCTGCCGCATTCATCTTCAACGGGAACTTGCACAAAGACCTGCAACCTCACACTTAGTATGGCTTAGGACTAGGATGACTTCGTGAGAGACTTAGTGGTATTTTGGAGCTTTTTGGCTTCTTGCCCCATGCGCCTCAGAGCTGTCACAGCCAAATCTTGGACTGCCCCATGTCACAACAGAGCCACCATTCTTCAGCTGATGTTGAGCTGTAGAGCTGTCACCACCATGATAAGCATGGCCCCAGGTAAGGACGGAGCCATCTTCTAGGATTGCAGCAAATGCTCCATCTGTGGCCTGAACCTGCTGCACGCTCCTCAGCTGATCTTGGACTGCAGAGCTATCACCACCACATTCTCGGCTGCCCCAGGCAACAACGGAGCCATCTTCCAGGATAGCAGCAAAGGCTGTACTTGTAGCCGCTTCACACGCTTCAGCCGATCTTGGACTGCCGAGCTGTTACCACCAAATCCCTGTTGACCCCATGAAACAACGGAGCCATCTTCCACGATAGCAGCAAACGCTAAAACTGTGAGGCGGCCTCAATCTGCTTCACACCCTTCAGCTGATCTTGGACGGAAGAGCTGTCGCCACCGTCTGGTGGAGAGCTCCATGTTACAACGGAGCCACCTTCCAGGATAGCAGCAAAGGCTCGTTCTGCGGCCTGAACCTGCTGCACGCTCCTCAGCTGATCTTGGGCTGCAGAGCTATCACCACCAAATTCTGGATGCCCCCACGTCACGATGGAGCCATATTTCAGGATCCCAGCAAACGCTCCTTTCTTCGCCTGAACCTGCTGCACATTACTCAGCTGGTCTTGGACTGTGGAGCTGTCACCGCCACAGGCTGGATTGCTCAACAGAGCCATCTTCCAGGATTGCCGCAAATGCTTCACTTGTGGCCTGAACATGCTTCGCACTCTTCAGCTGATGTTGGGCCGCAGAGCTGTCACCACCACATTCTGGCCTGCCCCAGGCGAAAACCAAGCCATCTTCTCGGATAGCAGCAAAGGCCGCATTTGTGGCCTGAACCTGCGTGCAATTTCTCAGCTGATCTTGCACCATGTAGCTGAGACCACCGCCAAGTGATGTATGGCCCCATGTAACAACTCGGTCACCATCGCAGCTCAAAACAAAAGCTGCTGTGACCTGGTCCCCGTCTTCAAGCCCAGCCTGGAGAGTTTGCGACCTGTCAATGGTTCTGCAAAGTGGCAAGCCTTGAAAAGCGGTGTCCTAAAGCCTGCTTCACAAGGGCTTTGAAGTCCCCTAGGAGGACTGCCGAAGTGAAAAGCTCTCACTGCGACCGCTGGCCAGAGCTACAGTCACTTGAATCATGAAGTAATTGAACGGGAATTCATCCTCAAAATCGCAACACTACCATGTGCTCCAACAAATCTCGAGCCAATGCCAACCACACTGCGCGGCATCTGAGGATAAACTGTGCGTTTCTTGGCTCTTTCAATAGATAAACATTGACAAACTCTCTCCGTCTATCTTCAATCTTAGATACCCAATAATTTTATAATTGAGAAAAAACATCAGCATTAGCTGGTGAGATTCAACTATTACTGTAATACAAGCGGTCCGCTCGAGGTGTTTACCAAGTTTTTTGATTTTGCCCCGTATAGCACGCTGAGAATTTACCCAAGATGTTTCTGGGTTGATGGGTCCCCTGCTCATTTTTTTCTGGGATAGATCTTCGTTAATATAAGCTGGGTCATAAACCCATTCAAGCGCAAATAATTATATATAATCCACTAATAAATCCCAGTTCTTGGAGTTCTGAACAAACTTACTTTTATTGAAACATGTTGCAACAATTTTTTTGGGGTCAAATCCACATTTCTAGTAGAAGTTCTTTGGTGTATAAAATTCATTAAAATACAAAAAGCGTGTGGTGATTCACTGATCCCTTCAGCCCCCGAGCCCAGTTCCACCTTCACAGCCTTCAACGCCAGCCGAAGGCCGTTGCTTCCACCAGCAGCCACCGAGTCGTGGCTCTCGCCTTTGGCGAAGCCGCTCAAAGCAGCGAGACCGCACTCCTGCAAGGACGCGTAAAACCGAAACATAAAAGCAGTTTATGGCCCCAAAAATGGAAAAAAAAACGGTGACAATCAGTGAAAATCAAATCAGTGAAAAAAATGGTACACTCCAGTTATAAATCAGTGAGAAAAAATGGAATGATAACTCCATTTATAACCAACAACACTGGTAAAAGGGCTTCAACTGTGAAAGTTTAAGCCTTAAGCATCCATATTTGAAAATTTCATATGATCATCAAACAAATCATGTTCTCCAAGATTCATGTTCACCATAGGGTTGCATCATCCGGATCCAACCAGCTAATAAGCCCTTAGTGGGTCTGCTGGTTGAGTCCTCAAGTAACATAGGCTGAAAATTACTGGGCTGGTCCTCTTGGTGTTTTTAACAGCCATGAACCATACGACCCGTACGGCAGTCATTAATGAAAACCATGAGATCATCAGCTGATCTGAAGATTTGGCCAATGATGAAATCTCATTTTTGCCGCTAAAAAAACACTATGTTGATGCTAGTTTTGATGGTTATGATTAAGCCATATTGAATCATAACTATCATATTAAACCATATTAAATCATGGTATTATCATGTATTATCATCACATTAATGTCATTACATGTCCCTTTCTTTCCCACCTATTCATGTCATTAACTCATCATACATCGCACCCCGCCTGAACCTGTGCCACCGCCTCGTGCCTTTCCAAAGCATAGAGCACTAACCTTGGGATCTGATGCAAGGCACGGCCCTGGATCAGGAACCCGCTGCATGTTCCGAAAGCGATTTGTTTTTCAAAGGCATCCTAAGGGCATCGCAATCCAAGTCATGATCATGACTTGGTATTGAAACCTATGGTGACGACTGGGGATTCCCCAATGACTTAATAAACAAATGGGATTCAGCCTGCAACATGTAGGTTGATGGGTGATTTATGACAGCTCAAGGCTCAAGGTAATGCACCCGACCGTTTGGTGCCTAGATTAAGCAGATTTTAACCAGCAACAATGGAGGGTTCAGTAGTGGTAGTGCCAGTTCCCTCCCTGCCAGAGTTTGACAGTCATAAATGGCTTATTATACTAAGTAGCTAGGAGAAGCCGCGAAGTACACCCGAGTTTATGTCAGTTTATGTTGTCTGGAATGTTTGGACACTAAAAACATGCACTTAGACGTACTTAGCATGCTGGTTGCCTCTCATGAAGGGCAATGATGTAAAGCCAGAATCCATCCGCGCTGGGTGGTCATGTTTGGCTACTGGGATAGTTTATCGCATCGGGAACTGGATGGAACTGGTTAGTAAGTCAACCAAAGTGACTTGCCATCCCATATACATATATGTAAATATATATATATATATACTGTATATGTATATATGTATACATATGGCTTTCAAGCCTACAAGCCAGCTACGATTCGCTTGAGGATCCTCCAAGCTCCCATGTTTTTTCACCATTGCGGACATCGCATCAGCCGCCAAGCTACTCTAGAGCTCCATGTTCCAAGGCTTTCTGCCGAAAGTCAGCTCCACCCTCCTGGGATCATCCCCAGGGAGGCAGCGGCACGAGACTCATCTTTCAGCAGGACTTGCAACCAAAAACATCATATCATACATGAAATATTCCCTATCCTGTTCTTTCAATATATATATATATATACGATATTATTATTTTACAAAAAAAAACATAAATAATCATATATACATAAATGTATGAATAATAAATACATTAATATTACACTAAAGAACATTTTTTTAAATCAATACATACATACACAAATAGTTTATATATATATATATCTCTATATTACAAATATGTATAAGCATTATATACATATTATTTTTAATAATATAATTATACACACATATAGTATACACTCATTCATTCCGCACAACTCCAAAAAGGACATCGCTTTTCGTCTAAACGTCGCACCTCTGTGAGGTTCCGCAAGGCGGCGCAGCCCCAGGCTTGCCTTGGCAATGTGATACCCATAGGATAACTGGTAGCACTTCATGGTTTATGGAGAGTATACATATATATATATATATATGTATATCGTTCGTCTCGATATAATGTAAATATCCATATATTCCACCAAAGAATTATATACATATATGATTATATACATATCTGTGTGCATATATATATATGTCCATAAAACCCAGTATGTTATCTTATAATCTTACACAGTTGTCCTCTTCAATAACCAGAGCGAGGATAACTGGTACAACGCGGAGCCCACAAACGATAGCTACATTGGTTTATAACTCCAATTTCACTCTGGTTTATGATATTAAGGAGGTTGACTATAGTTTGTCAATCGGGTTTTAACAACAACTTGTACAGTAACTGGGGGGGCCACATTGTATCCATTTCATTTATATATGTTTTCTTTGATATTCCACAGTTGTCCTGTGGTCTGGTGAAACTTCAGCGGACACCGTCACTCATACCTCACTCATTGGGGGCACGGGGGCTGCCCTTTGTGTCATGGAGCTGCACTCGGGTAGTTGTCAACTCTCCCTGGAGATTTTTTTCCGACGGTAAATGGATCTTCACCTCCCAAACAAACATTGATTTTTCAATGTATTTCATAGGCTTGAAGATCCATCCGTATCCAATGAAACCACCAACCAAGTCACTAGTTGTACGATGCTTATGTCCATTCTACCCCCCCTTTAACGACCCCATTTTACTGTAGATGGTTAAATTCCCATATGACGCTAAAGTCAACAACATATGTTGAGCGTTGAAATCCAGTTGGGCGTGGCAAGGGCCCCTAAATAGGCAAGTTGGTGCATAACTAGGCGATAAATTGGGTGTAAGGCCCATATACCATTGTATATCTACAGTTGGATGGGTGATGATAAAGAACCCTACAATTTGGGGGTCCCATCTTGTAGCAATCCCAGCCATTGTCCATGCATGGCTTGCGTGCGCTACTCGGGGTGCATGCCAGTTAGACAGTCGGTAATGCCCATATTGTCATATATTACCCATATGACATCTACAACCCCAGTCATACATATATACAGTATACAGGGTATATCTTGTTTATCAACCACCTAAACGATGACTTGGATGCACATCCAAAGCAAGCTGGGGATGGTTTCATCATAATGATTCCATAACGTCAAAAAACATCATCCCATAGCATTCCATTTACTCTTTCTCATGTAATCCCCTCTCCCTCATACTAAACAACCCACTATGGTTTAATAGTTTAATAGGGTATTTCCGGGTATTTCAACATATGTGGGATAGAATTGGAGATGTTTGATATGAACTCACTGGATGGGGATGATTCTTGGCTTTCCATTCCTTCTTCTCCATGCCTTCATTGATTTCCTCTGTCTTGGCAGCTACAGTCTGGAAAAACTCTTCAACAGCTGGCTTTTCATTGCCATTGGAGTCAGGTACTTCGGTCCACATTTGGCATTGGCCCAGCACATTAAGGTTCTCCTGCAACTTCTCCATGACTTTCTTCACGTCATTTTCCAACAGGGGATCAGTTCCTCTGACCTTGACCACCAACCTGCTGCAGTCTCTTTGAAGCCTTTCATTGGCTCCCTTGGCTTCCAAGACATGTTTCTCAAGACTTTTCCAGGTCAGCTTTGGAGGCTTTGCAGCTTTTTGACTGGAAGGTGCTGCTGAAGGAGCTGCAGCAGCTGAACTGCGAGGTGGAAGAGAAGTGAGCCCATTCTCCAAACATAGTTGGCTTTTCCCTCGAACCAAAGAAGGTTTCTTCTGGTCTTCCAAGTGGTTGGTGGTATACCTATCCCTCTGAAAAATATGAGTTCGTCAGTTGGGATTATGAAATTCCCAACTGAATGGGAACAAAATCATGTTCCAAACCACCAACCAGATAAATAGTTGGACTATAGTTGGTTTGTTTTTGGGGTATCATGGTTATTATGGTCTATAGTTGGTGAATGATCGTTGATAACTAACATAACTATGGAAAATCACCATGTTTCATGGCTAAATCTACTATAAATGGGGTAAATCCACCATTTTTCATGGTGATTATGGACATTTATGGACTATAGCTGGTGAATGGTGTCACCAGGCGGCAAATCTGCTTCGTGGCGCTGTCGCAACACCTCCAGCACCGCTGACAGGTCCGCCATGGCGCCGGCGTCATAGCACCGCGCAACGCGGTGATGCGGCAGAACGATGCCGGTGGGGTCGGAACGAAGGAAGGCTTTTGGTGGTGCCAACAAAACATGGGACCCAGTCATGTATATGTAATGAATAATATATGTTCGCATGTGTATATATATATCTCTCTCTCTCTCTGTCTCCAAGTGTATATATATATAAATTAATTTACATAGATCATCATATATCATGATGCAATACATATGTGTAAATGACAAGAAGTGAAATGAATTCAAACAATGTGAAATACTTGTTTTGTGGGGAACCATGAGGTAGCACTCTGGCTACCACGGGACCCGCACATCATGCGTTCAAATGCCTGCATTTCCCGGTGGCGAACACCATAAGCTATCAATGTGTAGGCTGGTAGTTTTATGTAGTTTTATCACTATTGTATATGGTACCTATGTATCATTACTATGATATACTATGATGAATGTGCTAATATTGGTGCATTCTTACTACTATGTTTGATATATATATATATATAATAATAGTAGTAGTAGTAATAATAATAATAATATGCGACCCCGCGATCGAATTGATTGAATTACATAATATGCTATACAAATCAAAAGTCCCCATACTTGAACTCTTTGAATTGATGCCTTAAAAACTTGCATCATCAATTGATGCCTTCAACCTTAAAGGCATAGCACAAAGCATAGAAAGTCAACTTTTGCTGGTAAAAGTCCATCATCGAGAGCCATTGATGGCATGGGCCCCAATAAGAACTATAGCACCTCCCCACCAAAAAAAAAACTGGTTTTCTATCTCTGCGGCTTTCCTATACTCAAGCAACATTTACCATATATGCCATATGATGGCGCCGCGATACATTCGATCCGCCATACTATAAGCTGACCAACATCGAATCGCGCACAAGGTGCTGTTCTCCAGTTCTGTCTGTTGGTTTAGTTTCACCCTATGAACTATACTGGTTGGTGGTTTTAGCCATCTTGACAAATATTAGTCAATGGGAAAGATTATCCCATATATCATGGAAAATAAAAAATGTGTGAAACCACCAACCAGTATAGATACCCTCTGGTGTGACATGTGACATAGGGAATTTCCCTATAACTCGAGGTTTGTAGCTGAGAAAATCATCGATCAATTCGGGATTTCCCAGCACGACATGTAACACAAACATCCGTAACCCACATTTCACCAAATTTTTGGTTGGATGGTCCTACGCCAAATATCATGTTTTGATCGTGCCACATATCAACTTATACCATGAATGATTGGTTTAGTTAACCACCATTTAGACATAATTTTCCTATTCAAACCCCAGTTGCCATCCAATGACTTATGTTTATGTTTTTTCCCATTAAATCCTTTATAATCCCGGTGAGTACCATTAAACCTCATTAAATCCTATGAAATATCCCATTAAATCCCATTAAACCTCACTAAATCCCATGTAAATACCATTAAATCCAATAAAATCCAACGAAATATCCCAATAAACCCCATGTAAATTCCATTAAATCCCATGTACATCCCATTAAATCCCATTAAACCCCATTAAATCCCATGTAAATCCCATGTAAATCCCATTAAACCCCATTAAATCCCATTAAGCCCCATGTGAATCCCAAGAAATCACATTAAATCCCATGTAAATATCCTTACTTCATCCGCAGCTTCGGATTCACAACGTCAGCACCTGGCCGGTTGATCTTCAGGCGTCAGTGTACAGCAGGCCGCCCGACCTGGCCATCTGAAGCGCTGCTGGAAGCGGTCGATCCTCCGGGGAATGATGGGGTGATATTTCCTGGTGAATATTCCTAGGAAAATACCCTGATCTGGTAAACTAACATAACTATGGAAAATCACCATTTTTAATGGGAAAACTCACTATAAATGGCAATTTTCAATAGCTACGTTAAATTACCAGAGGATATTGGATATGATAATGAACCATTAGTATTTTCATTGATATTCCCTAGAATGTGAGGCCCCCGTTGGATATCTAAGTTGGTGTATAACTACAATAACTATGGTTTATGGTATTTATAACTATGGTTACTGGGGCCTCACATTGTACAATATATGGGAAACCCATACCCAATAACAATGGTTCATTATCATATCTAGAATATACCATAACTATGGAATATCAGTGAAAATCGATGTTTAGTTCGTATATGGAAAACCCAACCAAGTCCAAATATTGCCATGATTGATATCTATGAATAGGAACAATAACCATTAGTTGTATATATTGCCATTAGTTCTATGGGAAAAAACAACAATAAAGACTGGTTGGTGTTTTCAACCCATTTGAAACATATTATATAGTCAGTTGGGAAAATATCTGCCCAATATATGGAAAATAATGAGATGTAGACATATGTATTTACATCTTTTTATATATGGGATATTATCTAGATATGATAATGAACCATTCCTAATATCTGACCTAGATATGATATGATATATCTAAAACAATCTGATGATATTTTGATTATCAGAATACCTTGGGATATGCAATATTCCCTAGAATGAAGCATTAGTGTTTATTAATCATTAACCATACGATGCTTAACAATTGACAAAAACCATTACTAACCACTATCATTCTTTATTCATTAAGCATTGTGAATTATATATGGGAGATTATCTAAAGATGACCCCAATATATTACATAAGATCTTATGAGGGTTTCCATAAATGGGGATACCCAATGGCTGGATGATTTGTAATGAAAAATCCCAATCTAAAACAGATGATAACTGGGGGTACCCCTTCTAGGAAACCTCCATATGATACGCATGACAGGAATGATATTTCTATATGATCTTTATACCCTCTAGCAATTTAGCATAGCTATGGTATATTTTTCTGATGCATGGATGATTTAACTATTAGAAATTGGGATTTTTCATTTGTAGACTTACCAAAAGGTAGGACAAAGTCATGTTTGTTGGTTCAAACATGATAGTTGATGGGGTTCATGGTAAGTCATGGAGATAGCATGTATTTTTTCTACTACGCTCTAGTTTGACATTGCCACATAGCTATGGAAAATCCCTTGGATTTAAACGGCTAAATCATCGAATGTGCCATGTTCCATAGCTATTTCAAATTGCCAGAAGGTGTTTTTGATGACGAAAGGGTGATGGCAGATCGTCGAAACATCGCGTATGTTCGCCTTAACAATGGTGAAGCTAAAGATTTCGCTACTCATCCAAGGTTTCCCCATACCATTATGTCCTGGGAAACATATATCAGGTAAATATTAATTACATAGGATTATAATATATATATATATTATATAGGTAAATATCATGCAAGTCCTAATTTTCATAGGTCAAAGCCCGGCTTATGATTGTTGGTTTCAAATCATTCGAGTCATGTGTGGCCTAGCACAGAAATGGTTGCGAACAAATACCCTCTGGTCAAATAAACATAGATAGACCCAGCACATAACCAACTTTTAGTGGAAACTCAGGGTCTATGTAATTTACTGGAGAGTAAATATATAGCTGAAACTTGCTGAAACCACCAATCAGCTTTATGCCGGGTTGGAAACACTGAGAATGATCTTCCCAAGGACACATGAATGTGATGATATACGATGCATATAACGTGAATGATCGTTCTTATACCCTCTGCGAACTTAACGTGGCTATTGAAAAAAAAGCCCCCATTGATAGTTGATTTACCTATATTATAGATGGAGATTGTCCAGTTTGCTGTGTTAGTTTACCAAAGGGCATATACTTCTGCCCTTAAATCTCATTGGACTCATTGGGATGGTAGTCCTGGGAATAGCCTTGTTGAAGTGTCTATGGTGTGGGGAAACTCATGTGAGCTCGGCTTCCAAGTTGCCCGAAAAATTGTCCTCAACCAATGCCCAACTTGCCACACCAGAAGCTTGACTTAGTATGCACGTAACCAAATCTAAATCAAAGTTCCAAGCTCTACTACCAACGTTACCGCGACGTTAACCGGTAACGGACACCGTCAAATGACGAGGCCAAGAAACAGCCCGACGGAAAGAAGTTCACCACAGGACCTGGTTTGGAACTGGAGTTCACTGGGGATGGGATAATTACTCCATTTGTTGGGACATGCCCAAAACAAACGATTCGATATAGCGGGGGCAGGATGGGATATATATATATATATATATTTTTTAAAAAAAAAAACACGTGCAACATTTGGCTATTTTCGTCAAAAAAATGGCACCCTAGGTACTCTAGAATTGCTGGTTAATGGTGTTGAAACCACACCCATTGAAACGATGATCTTAGGGATGGTTGATGGCATTGAGTTTTACATGGGTTTGCCACACCCATGTTGTTTATGATCATATAATTTGTCGAAATGTGTTTCTCCTTACGTCATAATATCAACATGGTTTACCCAACAATTAAGGGGATTCGATAGTTATGGCCATTTACATATTAGCTATAACTGGTTATAAATGGGAATATATATATATACATATATGCTATATGTTATTTCTGTACTTATAACTGGTATTTTGGGGCCATAGCTATCATCGTTCTCGGCTTTTTTAAAAGGCTTTTTATATGGTTTTCCATCACCAACTTCCAGGATCTTTTGAAAATGGCACATAGAAATAGTGGATTTACCTAGCTAGATAGCATGGTGGAACTTTCCATAGTTATGTGGCTGTTTACCAGAGGGTAAGGTTCATGATATCTATATCATCCTATATGTATAGTTTCTATAGGTAATGGTGGTTTACAAACCAACCACCTTGTACATTTCTGCCATACAATTAACTTAGGCCAATAAAAGAATGCATTCTAGCCAAAACAGAGGCCAACCTCACTGCAGACCGCTTACAAAATGGACCTCTGACAAGTTTAGGTGCAAATGACAGAAAATCCGTCTCTATTACTCTCACCATCTCTCTCACCATCTCTTACGAATGCCGTTATTAGAACGCTAAAAAAAAATGGTAAAAAAAATGTCACAGAAACGACAGTTCAGGATGAGTTATATACCCTCCGTTGTTCTGTTCTGGCTCCAGCAAATGT